ATGGCCTGGTATCCTGTAATTTTGAAACGTGTATTGGATATGTACATGTATTCAAAACTAAAGTTAAAAAACAAATGAAAGAGGAAACTGTGTCTGATATGTCGGCAAAAATTGGCTTATTTCCAGGACTGAGAAAAATAACTTGTACCACAAGACTTGATCACTAACAGAATTATATCAATAAATGATTCTAGTTCAATGGACAGGAAACACCACTAACATGTATTACCATGACTTCCGGAATAATATAAAAATATAAGACTAGATTTACAAGTCACAGAGGAAACCTAGCAATAGATGTACGTCTGGTTGTTTTTACATTTTCCACACACATGTACTGCACCATTTGATTAAAATTAAAATCATTTCAACTCATTTACAGGATATACATAATTGTACATGTTTAACTTTTTAAATGTATTTTATATAATAGAATATGTGTTTCTATTAAAAATACATGTACATTATGCAAGAACTAAATTTGCCTATTGAAGGTCTTTCTTTAGGCCTGAAATGTTATCTAAATTATTCTCGATGGCATCAGATTTCTCTGATATTAAATAGAATAGAATGGTTCAGCCATATTTTGATTTAATTTAAAGATGAAGGAGCGAGACTTAGCTTCGAACAACCAGTACGGTGGTTGAAAGTATTGCACACGTCTTGTCAAACCTTCAAAGGCTTATATCTTCGATCGCAATAGAGTAATTTGAATGAAATTTTCAAATTATTCATTTTACATTATCTATTTTTGAACTATTATAGAAAGAACGGCTAGCTCTTTATCTAAATCTTACATAATGTATCTTTAATTGTACATGTTGTATCAGTGATATTTTTTAATTGGAATAATCATGTGATACATGTAAGTCTTTCTATAACCATTTACATGTATTTATTTCTACAGCATGTACTATAAGTCTATAATACAATGTATAAAATATATAATAGAACTTATAATTTGTACGTGTAAATACAGGTTTCACTTTCAGTATCAAAAATAAACCTCAGTCACCTTTACAGGTGTAAAAGAAAATAAACTGGTTGAACAACATTCACCAATCTTTTATCAAGGAATTAATAGGTATACCTACTGGTAAATACAGCAGTATGAATAGGAAGTGTTCACTCAACATTTCTTATAAAATCATAGTAAAAAAACACATTGCAATTCACATACAATGTAGCCGACCTGAGCTATAATACCAGATCTTAAACAGTTGCATTAAGCATGTCTGTTGGAATCATTTGTCATTAGTGATCATATACTAGCTGTTAAAGGAAAAGTTCACCCAAGCAGGCTATTTTGCTTACTGTATTAAATACATCATGTATTGTGTTTGTTCTCCTGTAGTATATAAGTCAATTTATAACTTGATTTTAAACAAATGCACATACATGTACATGTCTACAATAATAAACACTAAAAGGTGTATAAACTCTGTACATGTATATCAATGATTTGCATTCTGCCCTTCCCAAATATTCTCATTAAATAAATTTACTGTACATGTATGTACATGTAGATGATACCATTCTGATCCTGATATACATGAACCAGAACCTGTACCAGAACATGCACCAGAACATGTATAAATGTATTAGATGATGTCTGACACAGAGATTGAACTATCACTGTACGGACATGCGTACGTAACGATTCAATCAATGTAATAAAACGTGATAAATGAAATAATCATTGATTTAACTCAGCCTTCTCAATCTACTGCTGTTTCAAAACAGATATATTCATGTGATGCAAGTTCAATTTCATTCGATTTAGCTCTTGAGTCTGACATACATCCTTAACCCTTGGTCGAGAAATGTAGAAGTAGGTCCTATAGCCTATATTTATAGATGTACATATGTACATGTAAGTATCCATGTCTCTCTATATTGTATATTTACCGGACTAATACAGTATTTAAAGGAGCTAAATTGCTAATATTTGGGATCTAGAAATTGACACAAATGGGTCACAACGCATATAATAATGTAATATGAATGTATATAAACTGATTTACATTCAATCGTTTCTGTAATTTCTAATCAGTTATGTTCGGCGAAATACGCCCGAAGGCTCAATTGAAGACAATCTTTAGTGTCTAGTAATTCCAGTCTAAACCGATGGTATTTATTGCGCATGCTCTCCAGATAAGAATATAGCATCACAATTTGACATGACTTGTGGAATATGTCTAGCCTCGTCTTTGAGCCCCTTGTTCCAAATGGCACTGAAACGCATTATGGTACACGATTCGTGTACCAAAGACAAAATGTTTATTTTGTCTTGAATATTGGATATCAGAAGCCCATCTTTTCCAGGTAAGATCACAAGACCAATGTTGATTTGAATTGACAAATAATTTGTGTTTTCAATGTCGGAGATTTTTGATGATATTGAGCTAGAGACTTAGCTACTTTAAAACATGTCACCTGAACATCTGACATTATCCTACCAAACATGTAACTTTTTGCTTTGATAACATTTACAGACTATTTCTGTCCTTTTACTATCAAATTCAGGGTAGGCGGGAGAGTGGCCGAATCTTTTAACACATGTGCTTTATATCATAAGGTCTGTCACTGAAGTCAAGTGGTGTAGTTTCGATTCCACACTTGTACATGACAAGTATGGTCGCCTGCCTAATCCCATGTTTTTTTCCAAGGTCCTTCGGTTTTGTCCAACTGCTAAATATACAAGCGAATTATTTAAATAAAATTGTACCATACTATATGTATTGATTGAATATTAAACTTCATTTATCTCTCCCCTATAAAATTCCCATACACGTACCATTTCTCTCTCCCCGATCAAATCCCCATACATGTACCATTTCTCTCTCCCCTATAAAATTCCCATACAGTTACCATTTATCTCTCCCCTATAAAATTCCCATACATTTACCATTTATCTCTCGTATAAAATTCTCATACATGTACCATTTATCTCTCCCCTATAAAATTCCCATACATTTACCATTTATCTCTCCCCTATAAAATTCCCATACATGTACCATTTATCTCTCCTATAAAATTCTCATACATGTACTATTTATCTCTCCCCTATAAAATTCCCATACATGTACATGTACCATTTATCTCTCCTATAAAATTCCCATACATGTACCATTTATCTCTCCCCTATAAAATTCCTATACATTTACCATTTATCTCTCCCCTTTAAAATTCCCATACATGTACCATTTATCTCTCCTATAAAATTCTCATACATGTACCATTTATCTCTCCTATAAAATTCTCATACATGTACTATTTATCTCTCCCCTATAAAATTCCCATACATGTACATGTACCATTTATCTCTCCTATAAAATTCCCATACATGTACCATTTATCTCTCCCCTATAAAATTCCTATACATTTACCATTTATCTCTCCCCTTTAAAATTCCCATACATGTACCATTTATCTCTCCTATAAAATTCTCATACATGTACCATTTATCTCTCCCCTATAAAATTCCCATACATTTACCATTTATCTCTCCCCTATAAAATTCCTATAACCATTTCTCTCTTCCTATCAATTTCCTATACATGTACATTTTCACATGTCCACAGCTACAGATATTTAAATTTATGTTGATAATCCTCATACATGTACAATGTATTTACATACACACCCATGTTAACTCTACAAATAAACATCCATGCTTTTTGATGTCACTACAACCCTGTTGTGTTTTTTGTTTTTTTTAATACAAAAATAGCCAATTTAAAATAGTCTATATTGGTACATGTACATGTAGATGAAATCATCTACATGTACCTGAATAACTATGGATTAATTCATTATGTCACTATATACTTGTATTATGGATTACTAATATTATGACTAAGATAGACTACAGGTAAGCTATATCACCTGTATTAGTAATGGTGATTGTTGATACATACAGTATACAATGTTAAATGAATTCTGACAGTAATAACCTTAAGTCATACATGTACAATGACTTCATTAATATTTAGTCAATCAATTTCTCAAGCAAAATTCATGTAGGCCTACATACAGTAATAATAAATTGTAAAAGATTCTTTGAATGGCATTTAGTAATTAGAACATGTACATGTGAAATCTTGTTAAAACGTCGCAGTAAACCATAGTAATGTGTTTTATTTGAATAAATTCAAATAAATTTATTTCATTGCCATAAACAAAAAGAATACATAAATGAATAATATTTTCAAGATTGGTTATTTTTCCTACAATTTTATCTAATTCAAACTGTCATGGGTACCTTTACAAACAAGACATGTATGTACCGGCGAACTTCAGGATTTCTCTTCCCTTCCGAACAACTACATGTAGGCAACATTTTTCTTCCAAGTCCTACAGCCAATACACATCTGCAAAGTTGTTTTTTTTATAAAGGGACAATAACACTCTTACTGGCTTGACAGCTCCAGAAAATAAAAAATAGCCTTATTCTAAGTACTAGATGTGTGTCCTACCTGTTGCGTAAATTATCCATTAAATCCTATTTTACTTGTCCAAAGAGTTCAAAAATATTTTTAAATCAAAGTCACATTTGAAAAGCTTTACGTCAGGCTTTTCAAATCATTTAGTTGAATTTTTCAAATTTTTTAAATTAGGTGTGTTAAGATGAAATTTGTATCATCAATTAATTGGAATATTGTAAAATAGTACAATTTGTTGACCAGAATAAAGATTGGGACATATTATTATTCAGTTACAACAAGAGTGGTATTGAGCCTTTAATATAAAACTCAAACAATTCTTGGTTAGTGTATACCTACATGTATACCTCTTTATTTACATGTACAAGAACCCTGATCCCAAAAGATTATTAACTGAATCACCAACGAGAAGAAAATGTCTGACTGTTCCATACTGGCATCTCATTGAGTTACTGTATCTACATGTACATCATAACCACGGTCTTAACATTCCTATTTACATCAATTGAAAAAATTTACAATTTACACAATCATAACATTAAAAAACAACCATACCTGATATCACTTGATAAATCCAATCATCTGTGGCCCCCGTAACGTACAAACAAAGGGTAAAAAGGTAACTAACTTGAAACCACCACCTCTGCTATATATATGGCTGACTGTACACTGTGAGGAATGGGTCAGAGTGAACTACAGACTGAGTTAAGATGTTGAACATTCCTACTGCTAGTGGTGGAGAATAGGATAGGTAGACATGGATATATAGGTGAGAGATAAAATCATATCATAGTCAGCCCAATAAACATAAATGTACACCTCTCAGTCAATACCACTGAGATATTATACAGTTTAAGATTGCATTTAAGGGGTTTTTAGCTCCCAATAATGTTATAATAAAGCCCATCTGTATAAGGGCTATCTCTATAACACAATTGTAGAGCAAATTAAAATCAATGCTACATGTACATGTATGTAGTTTTAGAGAGAGAAATAGGGTTTAACCTACAGTTATATACACCCTGAACACAAACCAGGACATTAAAACATACAGTAGAAAACTAGGCCCTAGAACCCTTCCGACACCATCTAAAGGATAACGTATTGGACCACTCCCCCCCCCCCCCCGCCCCAATAAGCACTAGGGTTATATCCAATCATATTACGATGTACATACCGGTATGTTTTACTAGACAGGGCATGAAAATACAATTAACAATCTAGCAATATCTAGTGAGTGGCCATAGAAACTTAGGAAAGCTACACTAAAACACCATGATGTACATGTATATAATATAAATCAAGTGAACTGAATAGGAAATAAAATCAGTGAAGAGAAAGACGTATAAACTTGAGTTATACACGGACCATTTATACCTGGTATAAAACAGCCTGTCAGTCAAGTAGAAGAACATACACACTTCTCTCTAAATAGAAAACATGTAATGTATGTGCAATGACTGTGTGTGTGCGTGTGCATGTACCTTTCTGTGTAAATTAACAACTGAAAGCTGTCTATCAAGTTACTCGTTAAAAGTTTTGATAGGTTTATAATTAGTTTAAAACACCAGATTCACCAACAAGTCAAAGTTCTTAAATTTAAATATCTTTATTTTTACACAATAAATGAAATGAAATGAGGTTTAACGTACTACTGTTCTGCTCCTAAAGTGGGCTAATGAAGACGGGCATACGCCATACAGTGTGCTATGAGGGAAATTTTGCCCGGGCATTGGCGCTACGGCCTACTCTTAAATCGAATTCCAACTGCCAAAGGATCTTTTACGTGCACGTCAATGTGTACACGGGACCTCGGTTTTTCGTCCCATCCGAACGACTAGAAATAATAATTTCTAACACCCTATTGATCGTAATATGGGTATAAAATATATCAACCAGAGAGAGAAAGAGAAATTGGGTTTAACGTCCACTTAACACAAACTAGGGCATTTCAGGACTAACATATGGTTCAATTTTATTTCAATAATTCGCTTGTGCATAGGGGGAAACCAGAGGACATGGTTTGGAGGAAACCGAGGATACAGAGAAAACCCATGAGGTTGAACAGGTGACTCTAATCCTTGTCATGTAGGCCCACAAGGAGGGAATCGAAACCGCGCCACTTTACTTAATCAACCAGAAACCCCATTAGTCAGCGATAGTAGTAGTAGTAGTAACCCCCATTATCAACCAGTTCACACAAACTTAAATATGATTAATGCATACTCATAAATGCATCAAATGGCAATTCTCTAGAAATTAATACAGTGCATAAACAGGAGGTTCTCTACATGATCTATCATATCACATACAGGAGGTTTTACACGATTTATCATATCACAAACAGGAGGTTTTACACGATTTATTACATAGATTGTTTGCAAAAATTATGGAGATTTTGACAATTATAGACGGAAATATTTTATTGTCATAAATGAAAATAAAAAAAAATGTCATTGATTAAAATATATTAACAGCAATCTGATTGATATACATGTACAGTCATACTGCCCAGGTAATACTAATATACATGTACATACAGGTACATGCAAGTGTCTGTTACATGTACAATGTACATGTACACTGTATTTCACTGATAACATATCTTGATCTACCTGTAGGATATATTTATATTTATCTTATATCTAAGTGGCCCTATTATTGTAGAATTGTGTTATGAAGGAAGAAATCTAATATAATATGTTGTAATGTCAGTGGGTATGAAGACAGAGAGAGAGAGCGAGAGAGAGAGAAAGACAGTAGCAGTTTACATTTCACTCACCTCCCAACTACTGACTCACTCAGTGTTATTGAGATAAAGCCAACATGTGCCACTGGTAAACTGTGTCTATTTTTATCTTTATGTTTTAAATACACAGGGTGAAGAGACTAGATACAACTGGCTAATGGAGGGGGATTCTAGTTTTAGCAGAATTTAACAACAGACTAACAAACTTTAAACTATGCCTTAATATTTAAGATGATTCAATCGTTATTTGAGGGATTTTGAATCTATGCAAACTACAGTATAACCCCCCATGTTACCGATACTGCAAAATCTAAAAGGACTATCATTCTATAAATGATTCAGTACAGTATTTACAAAGATATTAATGAACTGAAATTTTGCAGATGAATCCAAGCCGGAATATTAATCTATCATCACGGATATTTTATAATTAATTTCCTACATGTATGCATGTAACAATTAATTTCCTACATGTATGCATGTAACAATTAATTTCCTACATGTGTGTCATAATTGGAGAATTGTTAAATTAATTCAGTGAGAAAGGAAATCATGTGAGCTTAAAAGGAGCTAAACCTCTAAATCAATATTTTTCATAAAATTTGAAATTAAAAACACGAATTAGATTTCAATATTGGTCTATTTCAATCAATATTATGTTGTTACATGTATTATGCTGTAAAAATACATGTATGTTGTACTAATGTCTAACATTTAAGAAATAATTAACATTTTAAAATCCCTATACAAGACATGTATGGCTATGATTTTCCTTCTACACTCCTAACTAGGGGAAAACAAAGCTGGACAATCCTGAGCTACATCTACATGTGGTTTCTTGGCAAATACCAGGATCGAACATAGGACCTCCGGGTTACACGGGAGCCAGTGCCTTACTCAGACACCCTACGTAAGATATATTAGTTAGATTAGAATGGATCACATCTGTCTTCTATAGTACTGGTACATGTACATATCTGCTGAGTTATCTACATGTATGTTTAATAAATAACATAAAGTTACTTGCATTCCATCTTAATTCTTCCTGACCTAACACAAAGTCGTTACAATTCATGTACATCTAATACTTTAACAACGAATGAATCAATGAATAATTCTGTGGTTGTAAATTTTTGGACTGAGGATGAATAAATTGTTTTATTCATGTGTAAATATCCACCCGCGCATCTGCATCATGTACAAGACGACTAATTACTTGCACTGTCTAAACTCGGATCTATTTTAACACTCCTTGCACAACATGTAACAAATAACACAGTAATCATTTTTACCTGCTTTATTTGTTTAGTTTATATTTCTACCTCAGTTTAGCTATATTGTATATTTGATCAGAATAGATCTAATCTATAAATATTTTCATAATTCATAGAACATAGCAGAAAAAAATGCTGTTATAAAGTGACTTTCATGTACAGAGGAAAAATAAATAGGGTTTTCCCCTAATTAAGGTAATGATATCATCAACAGAATTATTTGTTTACCCCAAAAAATGGAGAAATCAACATATTCAACTTGAGATGTACATGTAGGCCTACCAGTACACATCTTCAATAGAAGGCTTGATCTCACTTTAACTACGTACATCTTATCAAGGCCTTCACGTAATACCCTGCATATTTGGGCACTAATTTTGATTGGGTACAAGCCCAGATTGTAAGCTTATCAAAGTCCTCGATCGTCGAAATTATCAAGTCTTGCACTTTTAAGCTAAATGTCTACATGTGATAATCGAGTTGCAGCAAAGTTCATGGTTCGTTCAATGTCATGATTTCCGTGGAGGTCGCTATGTCACAACCTCTGATTGGGCGCTACTGTTCACGTGTCTGTAGATAATGTAGCTATAAGTTCGGGAATTGTGAAGTAATCTAGCAACCGCCAGATGTTGTAAAACTTCAGTCGTTGCTTCAGGAACATGACCAGTATGGTACATACTTGCAGGGCTGTCGGTAATTTTTCACAGTTGATTAGCAGCACTGCTAATCAAAAAGTCCAATTTTGCCAAATTTGATTAGCAAATTTAAAAATTGATTAGCAGTTTTTCAGTTTCAACGTAAAACACCTAAATAACAAGATATTACTTTAATTCATAACGAATTGAAATATGATTAGATTCCATTCTGACTATTCTTAGATTTTTTAGCACTGCCACAAGTACTTGTGACAGTTTGTGAATGTGATGTAGACATTTAGTTAGGTCTTACGTCTGAAGCCAATTCTTGACAGTGACTTCCGAAGCCCCACTCATTTTAATTGTAATTTTTTTGTTACATTAGAAATCTTCGTTAGAAAACAATTTCGTCTGCTTTTTATCGTGTATTATTATTTTTGTTCAATCGGGCGCACCTCGATTAACTAGACACACGCGATATAAACAATAATATTTGACGGGAATTTTTACTTTGATTTATCATTTTACAATACGTTAACATGTGTTTATTTTTTTTATATTTTATTTACAATACGTGGGAGATACACTGGATTTATTTCTTTCAAAATGAATATGATATAATTACTTGATGTCTCACAACGTGAGTGGTACTACTTGATTCCCTATTTCCGGTTTAATAGTCCCTATTCATAGAGTTATGTCCCTGTGTTGTATAGTATTGTGTCTGGGCAGTTCGAGAAGAAAATGTCACACGGAGAATTCAGTTTTGTTTATAAAATTTTATTCAACATTTTATACACGTTGAAAGTGTTGAGTAAGCCTTCTAGTCTTAAAAATGTGGATTATTCTTGTGTCAATATCCAAAATGACAGGCATATTTTCGCAGTAACTGCGAATCAAAAACGTTAGATTTTAATTTTTGGTTAGCAACGGACAAAATATGTATCGCAAATTGCGCTGCGATACTGGTTGTCGGCAGCCCTGCATACTTGTTTGCATGTTTCACGTTAATAGAAATCAAGTACTGTCAGTCATTAATGAAATGACTTGTACAGTATATTTGTACATTGTAGACTAGGTAGGTCCTTTAATTCAAGATATTGTACATGTTCCTTTATGTATAGTAACCATAGTAACCTGTACAAGGTACAGAGCCACAGAGGCTCAGTGATGAAGGTGCTGGCTCACTAATTTTTTTCTATAACAATATTTTTTTCATGATTTCATTTCATTTCGTATACAAGGTACATGTACAACTGTACCTCTTACCTCATATAATTTGTGTTTACAGTTTTTTTTAAAAAATAATATTGACACAGGATAAGGTACAAAAACAACTGATACAAGTGGATAAGGTACATGTACATGTATAACATTACCAGGTCCATAATTTAATCAACAGACAGGATCATGCACTACATGTACATAATTCACTTTAAAAAATATTGATACATTAACTATAAGGTACCAGTATATTTCTCAGACAGGTTCATGTACTACGGTACATGTTCATGTATTAAACAGATAATTCACTTTAAAAAATTTAAATCCATTTACAATAATGATGGTACCAGTATATTTCTATCACCAAATCATTTTATAGTTTTTATTGTCATATTATTAATTTCCAGACACTCACAAAATATCTAAATGAGTTATTTGATCAACATCAGTTCAACAGTAATTAAGTCATATAGATCTAATCAAGATACCTGTATAATAACAGCCCTCATCATTTTAGTTTATCTTTCAATTCAATGTTAAAGCACAAACAATAATATTTATAATAACATCTGTACGTAGTAACCCATAAAATTTTGAAATTCAAAATCGGTAAAGTTCAGCTTTTATTAAAATTGTTGATGCATTTACATATACATTGGATAAAATTGAATTTATTTCTATTCAAAATGTTTTCATGTTAGTTAATACACGTAGTTTTGGTATTTACATTATTGCATGTCTACATATGTACATTAATCATAATAATAAAGGCTGCCATTTTGCAGGAAAATAAAATTTTGAAAATGGAAAATCCTGAAACTAATAAACTATTTATAGAATATGATGCAATTTTTTCTATTCTTAATTCATGTCCTTTTTATTAAAAATTTCATGCAAATATAAAATGTAACTACCGTAAGTGTCATGTGACTTTGTGACTGTAACTTTGTTATACGTAGATAAACTGACATATGTAGACAAATTTTACAAAAGGCCAAAAGCTCGCCGTAACAAACTGTCTCATTGGCTAATATCTCACATCAGCCAGAACACGTCAATGATAACAACTCTTCCAGATCCTAGTGTAGTAAAGACAAGTAAAACGAAATTTTGAACTATAAAAACGAAACGAAATAGGATCTGTGTTTTAATCAGGTTGGCATGTTGTGTCACACGTACTGACTCTAGCGAAGTAAGCAAGGTCTTATTTTCTCACTAAAATGTACCTTTACATTCTACTTGAGTTCACGTACAGGGCGAGTGTAACAAGAACTTATGTTCAGAGCTGAACTAAGTACCAACTAGCCTAATAAATGGGTATACTCCTTGCAGTATACTACGAGGGCAATTTTGTCTGCCATCAAGCAAGTACATGTAAATGAAATGAAATGGGGTTTAACATCCTACTGTTCTGTTCCTATACTGGGCATGCACCATACAGTGTGCTATGAGGAAAATTTTGCCCGGTCAGCGACGCTATGGTCCACTTTAATATCGAATTTCAACTGCCAAGGGATCTTTTTCGTGCACACCAATGTATACACGGGACCTTATATATTTGTCCCATCCGAAAGATAAGACAGCTGCAGGGGCCGAAAAAACGCATGTCTACTTGTCGAATCCATGTAATATTTTCAAAAGACAAGTACAAATAAAATCTACTTGTCGCTGGAGACAACTAGAATAATGTTTATAAATATTCTGGCTAAAATTGTCTGTCTAATTTATCCATTCCAATAAAGTAGGAAGAGGGGAATCTTTCATTTTTAAACAAATCTGAGGGTATTTAACAGCACCCGACATAGCTGTCAATTTGTCTCCATAGTAGCATGGTGATTAATTTTCTCCACGATTAACAAGACTTCAAATATATATTCTTGATTGACCATTACCTTGAAATTTGAATGTCAATCACAACGACGCGACGAACACGCGGCATACATCAATGTCTAACTTAGTAACAAGCCGATAATCCAGATTGTGTCAATGAGTAATACTATACTGATCATTTGTCTTCAATCCAATTAATTGATACAGTCAGTTGATTGATAATTGCCAATGATCTATATAAAGCCTATTATTTGAGGTTTCATTTTGTCTTAAATAATAAAAGGAAATATGGCCGATAATTCTTTCTGACGAGAATTAAATATTTTGATAGTTGAATTCCATTTACTATGGCTTCTTTTGCCTAATTGGATATCATTTCAAATTATATTATCACCAAGAACAACGAATGAGTTGAATAGTGAAGATTCTCAAGTGAGAAAACGATCTGTTATTTGTTTCATTACCTCCGCCACAATGTGTTAACAGTAAAATGAACGCGGAGTCTGATTGATAGCGACACAGGTTTCAATTTATGACACCAAATTGAAAAATCCCAAAATTCTCGAAAATTCCCCAAATTCCTGGGAATTTTTCAATAAAATTGATTGTACACGTAAGAATCTCTTACAAAATAAATTGTTGGGTTTTTTTTTTTAATTAAAAACAAAAATCGAAGGTGACAACTTGAAATGACCAAGTTAGAATTAAAAAATATTTCTTCTTGTCAACCTAGACAAGTAAAATTTTACAAACATTTTAACACCTGGACAGCTGACCTTGCCAGCCCCTCCGTCCTGCACCACTGACAAGGAGAAACCATGTAGGAAGATCTCAATGAACTTTCTCTGCCAATGCAGGGATCGAACAAGCGACAGAGAGTCAGCGTCTTACCCACTTAGCCACCGTGGCTCCTCAAGTACATGTAGTATACACAGGCCTACAGTAGACCTTGGTACAACATGACGTTTTCCCATGAGAACCCAGTTATGCACCACCCACGTTAAGGTTACGGAAAAACCAGACGGGGGGGGGGGGGAGTCTGAAGAGTTTTATGATCAGCAAGCACAGGACCAAACACAGGACTTCCTGGTTAGTGAACCACACAATCCATTTCAATTTAGTTTCAGAAATATTCTCTTTGTCCTGCATTAAATCTCATTGCAACCCTTCATAAGAGCATTAAGAAAATTCTTAAGAAATACCTCCCAATCTCACCTCAGTCACCTGTTCGGTGTTCCGAAGTTCCAAATCCATGGGATATGATTATAATCTACACTGTACAGAGAAACTTTGATGTTATGTTTTTTCCTAAGAATCACCGGACAAATGGTCATCATAAGACAGCCAGTTCAGTGCCAATTGAATCTCAAGTTTTGATTTGTTTGCATTATTTATGGTGACAAAAGGACAAAAGACAGAGCCTAGAGGGCATACAAAAAAACATTATACCGGTACAAACAATAGGCTTACTGTTAAAAAATGTCAGATAATTTGGAACCGAAACATTTAACTGGCCTTGGATATTTTCCTTTGTCAGACAGGACACGTGAGTGACTGACAGTCGTTTGTTTAGTTGTGTTTATTTTATTTTTACAATTTTACATTTTATTTTGTTCAGTTCTGTCTCAAGCGGAGGGCTGATTGTGGAACTTTTTCTGTCCCTACTTTCTGTTGCTATGGGATTTACAGAAGAGGGGACATTTTAAGTAATATATAATATGCATAAGCAAACAATATATGGGTAAACATTTGCAGAAAAGAGAAAATAGAACCCACCTGTGAGGAACAACTTTGCAATAATTCCCACTTCCCAGTTAATCTCTGACGTACTTGCATAAACGTAAATAAACTTTTTCTAGAAAACCTCCGACCCAAAGTTCTAGAAACTCAGACTTGGATATCCAGACGTTTATTTCATTGAAATCATATAGTAGAATGAAGACAAGGTAATCGAATGTAAAAAAAACAAATGTCGTTCCAAAAACATATTGATTACGAAAACAAAAACTGATTGGTGATGATTAAGTTTGATCTCAGAAATTGTTTTAGATAACATAGTTTGCTCTAGAATATTTTGGAAAAGTCTCGTTTGTCGAACCGAGAACGAGATTCAAAATGTCAGCGCCCATACGAACGTAAATAAATAGAGATTTCTGAGATATTTAAAAATTACACCAGAAATAATCTAAAAAATCGCTTAAATATTGATCAGTAAATGTTTTTTTACTGAAAAGCAGTATGGCCGATGATAAAAATGAGGAGGTAATGAAAAGAAAGGAAATTATTTTGATAAAAATAAAAAGGAGGCAACTCAATTAACTCAATATTTTCAATAAAATTCGAAATTACTGTCTGAACCATCGTAAATTTTAAACGGATTCTTCGATTATGATCAAACTACTTAACTTTGGTTACTATACACTTTACCTGTGTGTTTGAAATCAACTCCCATTAAATAAAATCCATCGCACAATTTAATATAATTTAACTGATTTACATTCAATCGTTTCCGTTTTTACTCAAATTTTAAATCAGTTATGTTCGGCGAAATATGCCAGAAGTCTCAATCGAATGGTTATTCTATGTTTATTTATTGTGCATACTCTCCAGATATGAATATGCCGTCACCGTTTGACATAACTTGTGGAATACATATGTCTAGCCTCGTTCTTCAAGTCCCTTGTTAAAAATGGGCCTGAAACGCATTGTGGTAAACGATTCGTTTACCAATGGTAAAATGTTTATTTTATCTTAAATATTGGATATCAGAAACCCATCTTTTCCCGGTAAGATAACAACATCAATGTTGATCATGTTTTCAATGTCGAAGACTTAGCTACTTTAAATTTATCTGTAATCTAGTCTAGTGATGCAAAAATGTTATATAATTTCGTTTTATATGTGAAATACCAAATTGTTTTTAATTAATTGTATATGATGCTTAAGAGCTTCTCCCTATATTTGAAAATCAGTCCATCAGTCATGTTTTTAAGGTTCCAGGCACTATTTGTTTTGTATTTAAAAACAAAGTAAAATATATCCTTCAACTTACAAGACAATGCAGAAGTAATTTGTACATGTACATGTAACGTATGTCCGATTCACAAATGACAAAATAATTAATAATAAAAACACTTTGTAGAATGGACTAAGCAGGCGTAAAAGAATGTCGTTCAAATTGTACTGTTTACATATTTCAGGTTATTTTTGAAAAAATGAATGTTTGGGAATTTAACACCCGCTTACATGTGGGTTCTGTCACCACATAAAATTAGAGCCTACAGATAACAATAAGAGTCTTGGAGATAACCCTGTGGTGCAGACATGTACAAAAGGGGTTATTCTTTGTTTTGTTGATAATAGAACAAATAGTTCAGAAATACAGAACTTGTGTTAGTGGTGCCATGTTTACTGTAGATGTTTTCATGATCAAAAGTATTTGTATAACATTTCCAAAGTTCCTGTATTATATTCTTCAGGGTACAGAATTCCGACTGGTGGCCAAAGATGAATTACGATTTGAGGTTGAATCAAAAGCTACAGTTGTTATGGAGGTCAGTAAATCAACAGTCATTAATGGAGTTAATGATATCTAATTCACAACAACATAATCTACACTGAAATGGATTCAAATTGATTATTAAAATTTAAACGACTTAATCCACACTGAAATGTGCTCAAATTAATTATTTAACATTTAAACATAGATTATGCAAGAGCTAAATCTGCCTATTGCAGGTCTTTCTTTAGGCCTGAAATGTTATCTAAATTATTAATTAGACATTAATTTACATGACAAGACCATAATCAACTCTCTATGCCATCAGATATCTCCGATATTAAACAGATTAGAACAGCTCAGCCATATTTTGATTTAATCTAAAATGGAGGAGCGAGACTTAGCTTCGAACAACCAGTACGGTGGTTGCAATTAATGCACACGTCTTGTCAAACCTTCAAAGGCTAATATCTTCGCTCGCAATGGAGTAATTTGAATGAAATTTTCAAATTATTCATTTTACTTTACCTATTTTTGAACTATTATAGCAAGAATGGCTAGTTCTTTATCTAAATCTTACATAATGTATCTTTAATTAAGAAAATAAAGTCCAAAAATATAAACGATAGATACATCTACCTGTAATCTCCTAATCAAATTAACAGGAGACCCATCTAATCATTTTAGCAAAGATTGTAGGTGGCAGTTGTTACGACCATATCCTGTTTGTTTTGTCTACTGAGGATGCCCAATATTGACAAATTGACTGATATTTCTGTTAAAACTGATACAGGTATTGCAGTAATATGTGGCAAAATATTAAAATGTGAGCATTGTTTGTGTAGATTAAAGATGTTTCTCAAGAATTAGAGTTATTGATCATCTATTGTCCTTAAGAATGTATTGTACATTATATTTTTTTATGTTTCAGATGATGGAAGGGAAAGGTGAAATATTCGGAACGGAATTGGCCAAGGGCAGAAAATATAAATTTTTAGCTGGAGCTAAAGTTGCTGTTTATACATGGCATGGTTGTAGAATTAAAATATCCTTTAATTTATATAAAAATATCTTCCCACAAATATAATTAGGTCATCTGTCCGACTCTCTTAATTTACTTACATGTGAAAGTATGATATTTGTATCTAAAACGATGATAAAATAATTGACTCAAATTCACAAATAATCGAGTTGTTTGGCCTCTGATGAATATTTGGTCTCGATCATTCTTATAGTCTTATTGGTACGTTCTGGGATTTGGATCCAGGTCAGTCTGGTCCGGTATCCTAATCATAGACTCAACCAAGCATGTATTATTACATCACAGATTCAGGCAACCATGAGTCCATGACTGTATTTTTACATCATAGATTCAGACAACCAAGCATGTATTATTGCATCACAGATTCAGGCAACCATGACTATATTATTACATCATAGATTCAGGCAACAGTGATTGTATTGTTACATCATGGATTCAGGCAACCATGACTGTATTGTTACATCATGGATTCAGGCAACCATGACTATATTATTACATCGTAAATTCAGGAAACCATGCTTGCATTATTACGTCAAAGATTGAGGGAACTTTTTTCTCATTTAATGATTTTGTATGCTTGCTATTTTAAAGTACATGTGTATACACATAGTCCCTTTGGATACGCCCAAACCTAATATGCCTCTAGTGACCAGTTATTCCGATTAGGTTCAAGAGCTGACCAATTTGGATTCTATATGAAAATGAAGAGCTTTGATGTATTCTGAGTTTTGATGTATAGGTATAATATTGAATTGAATATGTGGTTTCTTGTTATTTAAATATCTTTAACAAAGTAACTTGAATGGTACGACTGAAGTAGCGTATATCTCTAAAGAGACACCCATGTTAATGTATTTAAACACACATGTAGCATTAGAACAGATGAGAGTCAAGGCTGATGAAGAAAATACAAGAGGCCCTAGAGTAAGTTCCTCTTTATAATAATAGGATAAACATATCACTTTATTTATACAATAATATCACATTATTTATACAATAGTATCACATCCCATTATTTATACAATAATATCACATTTATACAATAATATCACATTATTTATACAATAATATCAGTTTATATCACATTATTTATCCAATAGTATCCCATTATTTATACAATAGTATCACATTATTTATACAATATTATCATGTTGTTTTTAGAATACTTTTTATTAATTGTAATGAGATAAACATTTTAATAAGCCCACATTGTAGACGATGAAAAGAAAATCTCTTGCAATTTGTGAGACTGGCTTCATCCTGACCAATCAAGTAGCGTGTATCATAGAAATTGTTATTATATGTTGAGTTTGCCATTCATAAAATGAAATGGAATGGTCTTACTTTCTGTACTAGCCGAGCTATTGAAGACGGCCATATGCCATTCATGCCAAAACAGATTCTTATTTTGATTTCCATCTCCCTCTTCCAATGGATGTTTAGCCTTCTGCCAATGGATCTTTAGCCTTCTGCCAATGGATCTTTAGCCTTCTGCCGATGGTATACACACATCCATGTTGTTCTAATAATTATACACAGGAGTCAGGAATCCTGTGGCTCCCCATGTGGCTCTTTACAGAAACGCTCAGGTAGTTTGAAAAATTGCTATACAATGTTTGACATATTTCAGGCAATAATTGTTGGACCAACTGATGTGGGTAAAAGTACACTGTGTCGTATTTTATGTAATTATGGAGCTCGTCTGGGTAGAGCTCCAATATTTGCTGACCTTGATGTAGGTCAGGGTCATACTGATATCCCTGGAACTCTGGGTAAGAACATTTCTTGACTAAAAACCTCATTGACACATATGATGTTGACTATCTGAAGTTTCTGTTTTATATTTACAATAACGATATATATATTTAAACATACATTATGCAAGAGCTAAATCTGCCTATTACAGGGCTTGTTTGAGGCCTGAAATGTTATCTAAACTGTTAATTAGACATTAATTAACTTATCCAAACCATAATCAACTCTCAATGCCATCTTCACTGGACTTGAATCCAATCTACTGCTCAAAGCTCATTGATGATTAAATCCAAAAATTGATAATCTTGACTATGTTTTTTATCATACCGACTTTAGTAATGATGATCGAGGCTAGGCTTAAAATTTAACAGCTAAAATCTCAGTTTAGAGTGGCGCAAATATTCTATTTATGTTATCAAATTTTTTAATTACTATAGCGAGAACAGTCAACTCTTAATCTAATCTCCCATAAGCCATCTTTAAAACATTTATCTGTTCTATTTACATGTAACATTGCCATTAACTCTTTGACCACAGAGTTTTTGAACGATTAGTAACCTCTACACTCGATTCCTGGCACTGTTTTTCTGTTTAATTTACACATAATATGGTGGGGGGGGGGGGGGGATGACCGAATGGTTAGCATGCGCGCGCTGTATCATAAAGTCTGTCATTGAGTGGTTTCGATTCCCTGGTTGTATGTGACAACGAGTAGGGTCATCTGTCCAACCTCGTGGGTTTTCTCCGGGTCCTCCTTTTTCCTCCCACTACTAAAGACCCCTACATGCAAGCAAACTATTGAAATATAATTGAACCATATGTTAGTCCCGAAATTACCCAGTTTGTGTTGAGTGGACGTTAAACTCTCATAACATGTCTGTAAGAAACCATGTGGCAGATAACAGGTGAAATATTTAGTTTATGTATTTGTTGATACAGGAGCTTTATCTGTAGAACGACCATCTGATCCAGAAGAAGATTATTCACAGTTAAGTCCCCTATCATTTCATTTCGGCCATAAATCCCCAGGAGATAACGTCACCTTATACAGCTTACTGGTTCAGAGATTAGCAGAAGTCATTAATCTCAGATGTGAAAAAAGCAAGAAAAGTAAGATTCATGTTTATTTATAATATAAATCATATTGTTTAATCAGGACATTTACGGTAAAATTTGTTACTTATCAGACTTCCAACTTCTCCTCTTTACTTATTACTAAACATACAAAACATTGCTGCATGTCTAATCACCAGAACAAACTCCACGGCCACATTAAACCTGTGCTCAAATCCCTTCACGTATTCAATATAAAATAATCCATGGTTTAGCTTCTGACAACCTGAGTGATCTACTGATCAAAAGTGGAGAAAGAACAACTCGGTCAACATCAAAGCGCGACCATGATCGTTCCAAAAACTTCAGTTGCAGCACCTATCCTATGGAACAAACTTCCAGAAACATGCTTGAAGACCTATTTAATTGTGAATACCAACCGTGACAGTGCGGCTCAGCGCCATTAAGTAGAACGCAGCAAGTAGATAAGAGGCGCTATATAAGTTCATTATTATTTTTGATGCTGGATGTGCTGTATATTATTTCAGCCAATGTTAGTGGGTGTATTATAAATACATGTGGATGGATTCGTGGAGAGGGATACAATATGATCAAAATGGCTGCCGGAGCTTTTGAAGGTAATTTTTAATATTGCTTTCTTTTGTAAGGTGGCAGGAGAAGTATAAAAATCTCAGACATGAGAAACCCAGAAGTGTTCGTTATTACATAGTAATATATATTTATACAGGTTTTGTCATCGAGTCAAGTTGGCGTGGTTTCAATACAAGTCTATATGTGATAAAGAGTAGGTTTGCCTGCCTAACCTTATGGGTTTTGTATGGGTCCTCTACTAAAGATACTGTGTCAAAGCCAATTATTGAGATAAAAATGATACCATATATTAGTCCCAAAAGTTAAGGGAATGTTAAGCTTTCCTGATTCTGCACAAGAGTGTAAGATGTGTAATGATTGTGGTCTTGTTTTTCCAGTTGATTCTGTGATGGTAATAGATCAAGAGAGATTATATACAGAGTTAAGACGAGATTTACCAGAATTTGTATCAGTTGTTTTATTACCAAAATCTGGTGGGGTGAGATGTTAATTTCTCTCTGTGTTTATTGAATCATGCCAGTAAAATCTGGAGGAAATTTCTTGGTCAACACTGAGAACAAACCTAATACCTCCTGGCTAGCTAGCTAGCATATCACTCACTGAACAACTGTGGCTCAAACAACAGACATCTACAAATACGATTTAAATATTCATAACAAAAAATTATGGAGTAACATATGTAAGCTAACGTCAAGTATATGTTTGTTAACAAAAGACGTTAATATCTACAAATACGATTTAAATATTCATAACAAAAAATTATGGAGTAACATATGTAAGCTAACGTCAAGTATATGTTTGTTAACAAAAGACGTTAATATGAATAGGATGGATTATGAAACAGGCCATTTTGTTTCCAGAGCAAATTTCAGGTTATTCGTTGTATACAAATCAACCTGTTATAGAGCATGTAACTATGGCTTGTCACTATGCCTAAAAATATACTTGTGACCATAAACATTAATGAAAAGGATATTGATATGGGGCCCCATCTCGGGTTTGTTATAGTAGTTGTGCCTTTTGCTAAATAGAATTGGTGTGCAATATCACCTTTGGTGGAAGCAGACGTAGAGTTCGTACTTGTCTGCGATAGCATCCTCGTTGGAAGTCGACGTTAACGCCTACAAACGAACAAATCTAATTAGAAATTCTCACTTCAGTTATATTATATGTTTTTTTCGTGGAATAAAATTTGACATAGTTTTTGTACAAGGAAGATTGATGACAGTCGATAAACTGTTCTTCTTTCAGGTTTTGAGTACATCTCAGGAAATTTATGCACGTATCAGCAGCCTATCTATTATAATTATGGTGCCTTTTACACTAGAAATTCTCAGTTGAATTATATTTGTGTTTCACAGAAATATACAGAACGTTAAGGACTAGTTTGGCGTCTGTGGAGCAGTCGAGACAGAATTATCCTGATATTGTACAAACTGTTCTTCTTTCAGGTTGTGGAGAGAAGTAAAAATACGAGAGCTGAAGCGAGAGATGCGAGAACACGAGAATATTTTTACGGCATAGATAACAGTTTATATCCTCATACATTTGAGATTAAATTTACCGAAGTCAAAATTTATAAAATTGGAGGTAAAAAGATGTTTTTATTAAGTATATCTTCTGCTATTAGTTTAATAATGATTTCACGTCCTGTTAAAATAAATATGAGGTTACCAACCTTTTCGTTATTAGTCGAATACGGATTTCACACATTGTACAACAGATCAGAGGTTGACAACATTGTACAATAGACGAGAGTTTATCAACCTTTGTTGTCCCGTTTGAAAGTATAATTTACCCCCACCTTCTTTTGTTCAGTAATTTGTGTACCATAACAAAGCAATCGACAAAGGCAAATCAAAATGAATTGAAATGGGGTTTAACATCCTACTTTTCTGTATCGGCTAATGAAGTTGAGCATACACCAGGAAAGTGTCCTAAATTGGACATTTTGCCTGGACATTGGTGCTATAAATTCCATTTATCAAGAGTTCTTCTACGTACACGTCAATGTGTACACAGGACCTCAATATTTTGTCCTTTCATCCTTTCGTCCTGGTCAGGGCTGTGCACGACTGATAAGGGGAAACCACACCGGAAAATCCAGAGGAAGTTTCGTAAACAACACTAGGAGCAAACCCCGGAAATCATGGTTTGCAAAAGATAAACCAAAGAAAAGCCTTCAGATGGTAATCTGTGAAAATATGAGATATTGTCTTCTTAAAAGCCGTTTGGATCATAAATTACCAACAATATCTACAAATGCCAAAATAGTCATGTAACGTCTTATTCCTTTTAATGACATGCTTCAGTTGATTTGATATTTGTTTATTTTTTGCAATGTCTGTGTAGTGTGTCTTGTCTGCTCGTTTATCTTGTCGGTGTTGTTTTCTGTGTAGTGCGGTCCTCCTGTACTTGCTAATAGAAATAAATGAAACCATCGTCAGACCGGGATCTGGTCATCTTATTTCTGTAGTTCTTGTTCATGTGGGCGTCATACTTCGAAAAAAGACTCTGCCAAGTCATGTATATTCGACTTGAAACTTGACATGCTTGTTCCTTGAACAAATGGGTGAACTTCGATTTTTGATATGAAATCACCATCCGAAAATGGCTGTGCTGACTCACTAACTGGTTCATAGTTTGGCTAAATTAACATTACTTAAAACATGTTCAAAATTCTCAATATTTTAACACAGTATTTTTGTCTATATATGGTTTTATAATGAAGGTCTTGAGGAGATGTTTTTTATGTATTTTTGTCTATGTATGGTTTTATAATGAAGGTCTTGAGGAGATGTTTTTTATGTATTTTTGTCTATGTATGGTTTTATAATGAAGGTCTTGAGAAGATGATTTTTATGTATTTTTGTCTATCTATGGTTTTATAACCATGATCTTGAGGAGATGTTTTTTATGTATTTTTAGCTCCCGAGTTACCCGAGTCCTGTCTACCATTAGGTATGAATGCTGAAGATCATAAAACTAAAGTTGTTCCTGTTATACCCAGTAAGATAATTAATATACCTACTAAGGAAATATCATGTACTCAGATTGATTATTTAACATTCAAAACATGCCCATCAATTTGATTCATGGCAAATAAAGATGGCGACCATCTTGGAATTTTCAATTCATCATGAAAACTGAACAGAATTGAAACTTTTTTTGGACTGATATTAGAGATTTAATTTCACAATATTCAGGTTTGCAAGGATTTCTAAAAGCCCTGAAATCATGCATACAGTCTTTAATTAATCCCACCTTTTATTAATATTAAATGAGATTAATAAAAGTTATATGATTCACCATATCTTGATATTTGATGGGCATATTTTGTGATGCCAGTATATTGTCAATCAGTACTGTCGAAAAATATTCCTGGTTACATACAAGCTTGGGATTGAAGCCACAACATTTGACTCAATGACAGATGTTTTGATTTTCAACACATGCATGAGTGCACATGCCCCCCCCCCACGCCATGCACCCCACCCCACCCTATATAATAATATTATCTGCATGTAGCTATGTGTTGTTATTACATCATGTCGGCCACCCTATATAATAATATTATTTGTATATGTTGTTACTAGAAGAATGCCCGGCTTCGCTCGGGGGACATAACCCTGAAACCGGAAGTGGTAGACTAACGCCACCTGGCCTATGTTACTCCCCGGTCCGAGCTACCCCTATACCCCAAATTTCAGACTCGGTGCAGACCTAGTGTAGCTGCCAACCCCGAACAGACAGACAAACTTCACAAATATTAATATAGATTACATCATGTCGACCACCCTATATAATAATATTATTTGTATATGTTGTTATTATATCATGTCAGCCACCCTATATAATAATATTATTTGTGTATTTGTATATAGGTATGTCGTTATTACATCATATATTTAGTGTATCAGCTGCTAACTCTATAGAAGATAATATCAAAGAAACTAATGTTATAGGATTTGTTGTCATGTAAGTAGGCTGTTTATTTCCTCATTACAAACTTCCATTTTTATCAAAACATTTTGTAGTATTGCCAGGTTATAATTTGATATTGGTACCAGATGTTCTAGATAATACCAGGACACCCAGCTTCACTACCAATTTAATATGAGTATTGACAGAATGCTTCCTAAATTTTGTCATATTTTAATCTGAAAATCAGTGTAAAAACCGGTTTACTGACCTAATTGTCTACCTTCATGGGAGCTGCAGTGGCTCTGTGAGTAAGGTGCCAGGTCACTTTTCTGGATGTTTGATGGCCGATCACGGTGCTAGCCGAAAAATTTACCCGCGATTTTCTGGCGTGGTTTCCAGGCAAAACTTCCCTCATAGCACACTGTATTGTGTATGCCCATCTTCATCGGCCTTGATTGGAACAAAATAGCAAGTCAAACTCCTTTTCTGTTTCAGTTTGTCTACTTTCATGGTTTAACTCTTGTTTATATTCCTTTCCTCTTCTTTACAGTACAGCAATAGATATGGAAAAACAAGCCTTCTCTGTTTTAGCACCATCACCCAGACCTTTACCTAAAAACGTTTTACTTATGATGGATATACAGTTCATGGATATTAAATAAAATCTGTTACATGATTGAAGAGATAAACAATGTTATAGATTAATGGAGATAATTATATGTGTGTGTGAATGGATAAGTCTTGCGTATGATGAATAGTTATAATTTGACTGTTTACTGAATAAATATCACCTGTGATCATCTAAAAATCATCTACTCATAATGTGGTCCAATCAGTTCATTTCACTGTTAGTATTTATTGTCATGAGTATAAAGTTCAGTGCAGTGGGAGCTTACAGAAATCATAAGAACGTACACACATCCCAATGCTTGGTACCAGACACAATCTGGTTAAAACACAGATCCTATTTCGTTTTGTTTTTATAGTTCAAAATTTCGTTTTACTTGTCTTTACTACACTTGGATCTGGAAGAGTTGTTATTAAACTCGTGTTCTGGATGGTGTCAGGGATAAGGCAATGAAACGGTCTGTTACGGCGAGCTTTAGGCGTGTTTTGCACGGAACTGTGGGTAATCCACTAGTAACATCAATGCTAATTGGTTAATCAAATGTCTGACGTCATAGGGTCATAAGTTGGTCTTTTGACCCCTGACGTGACCTATCGCTATAACTTGTCAGATCTTCATGTAGTGTAGTCCATCGAAAGTATAAAAAGCGAAACGAAATATAGATCTGTATTATAATCAGATTGTACCAGAAAAACTGTTTTTATGATTAGTTTCTTTTGTTCTGTTAGTTGAAAACCGATCTAGTGGGGGGGGGGGGCACTAGTACAAGATCTTTAGCTGTAGTAGGAAACCGGGGAAAACACATGAGGTGTGGCAGGCGACCCTACTTCTGGTCACTTATAAGCCTGGTAGCAACTCATACCATTTGACTATTACATATCTTAAGATTTACGTGTTTTGATTTTTTTGACTCATGTATCTCATTTAGCCAGTCGTCACATTTGAAAATTTAGGCTGCATGATATCTTTCAATCTCAAAATTGAATCAAAATTTTGTGTCCTGATGAAATCAAACACGTTATTTATTTTTTTTAATCACCATTTTAAGTCCATATTTTAGCAAGATTTTTAATTCATTTGATTACCTACACAAGAGCCTAATCATTTTAAGATAATAAAATGTACATAGTATTTACTTTTTGAGTTCTTGTTTTTATTATTTAATAGTAGAAAATGAAAGTAAAACTGGGTGTAAAACCCCTCAACTATTAAATGTTTAGACCATATTTATGTTTCTTTTTTTTTTCATTTTAAAGATGCATTATGTAAGATTTAGATGAAAAGCTGGCCGTTCTTGCTGTAATAGTTCAAAAATAAATAATTAAAATTGTATATTGAAAATTTCAAATTGCTTTACTCTGATCAAAGTTATGAGTGTTTGAAGTTTTGATTAGAATTGAGTAGTCTTGATTGTTAAGTTCCCTTGCTATGATAATAAGCAAATGTTGACCGATTAAATTATGCATGTGTTCTAATCCCCTTCATATCCCAATCGTCCAATGGCCGAGAGAGTTTATTATGGTCTTACATAACGCATCTTTAATTTTCTTTAGGGGTCTTTGATAGTCGACATGTGAGTGGTCAGAGCACTCAGGACTTTCAGCTAGAATGTCCTGACCCCAGTTTCATAAAGCATTCTCAGAGTTAAGAATTTACTCAACTTTCAATCACTGTTTATGAGAAATATCTTTCATCCAGAAACACAAAAATTTGCACATAATTTCTTATTGATGTATTTGATACATTAAAACAACAAAGGGTTAACAGGCCCTGAGTTAACAAAGCATTCTCAGACTTAAGTTGAGAATATAATCAAAATTGTTTGCCTTATTTTAACTAATATACAGCCCTTTATAAAACTTTTGTTGTTTTAATGTATCAAATACATCAATAAGAAACTATGTGAAAAGTTTTGTGTTTCTGGATCAAAGATATTTCTCATAAACAGTGATTGAAAGCTGAGTAAATTTCTTAACTTAAGTCTGAGAATGTTTTGTGAAACCAGGGCCTTAATTCAACCTAGTCATGGGTTGTGATAGGAATCGTGGCTTGTCAATTGGTATGAAAAACTAAGGCCTGATCGTATACACATTAGCAGGCACATAAAAATAACGCTGGACAATTTGATGCAGAGGAGTGTCTAGGCAAAATTAATCTCTCTAGCATTGCACATGTGATCATAGAAATAATTTTAACCATATGTTAGTATCAAAATGACCAAATCATTGTGTTGATGAAATGTTAAACCCTATTCCATTCTTAAACGTTTCTTTTAACATCTACAGGTTTTACATAGTTTTAACCAAGCTAAAGCTAGACCTAAGTTAGATCTCCCTGTAGTGTAGCTCAGCCATAATGTGATGAGTTTGATATTCCATGCTACTAAATCTAAACTGGTTTTATGTTTCTTACATATATTCACCATCTGAATCATCCTCGGTATCATTAGTGGTCTCATTCCGTTCTGCTCCACTATACCCTGGGTTCTACAAACCAATCAAAAAACAGTGTTGCCTCATTGTTTACGTTCTCAACACTATACTGACTTGTTCGCTCGATTATGAGACTGTCAAAGAAGTGACATGCACACAAAAATGGGAAAGATGTTATTATGTAAGTTTTTATGTATTTAACGATTTTTTTCATTGGTCAATAAAAATAGCACAATGATCAGGAGCAGATAACTTGAATACGTATCTACCCCAAGGATGAACCCGGGGTTTAGTCAAGTGGAACGGAATGATACCACTGAGGATACCGAGGTATCTGAACCAGGTAAAGTTTTCAGATCAGATTTTAATTTTTTAAGGTTACATATTATCATTGAAATCTATATTTTAAATCATAAACGTATTTTGTTAATTCAAATGAAAAGTTTAAGTAGTGAATACTGTATTTGTTTCTACATCTATTGAATTTTTAAAAAAGATATGTGGACTGAAAATCAAGAGATTTGACTGGTGATAATTGGAGTTATCTCCCTTTAACCCTTCAACTTGAGATGGTTGACCGGATGTTTACGTCGTTGTCAAGTCGCACATGTCAAGATGTAAACATTGGCTATTAAATGTATTGATATGATATCAATAATGTAATGGGTTATTGATCAAGGATATCGATACCACGTCACAGTTCAAGGTTTTTATTTATATTATTTAAAAAATGGAGTGTTTTAAAAACAACTCTTGGATTCACAAATACATGGTCTACCACCATAATTTATAATATTAATATTATTATATAAAGTGCGACAATGGCCTTAGATTACCGTAATATATTTATTGATTTTGTTAGTCATTGAGTTGTATAATAATCGTGATTACTATGGGGAAATACAGAAAAAAATGTCCAGAAAAGCAGAAGCCCAATTTAAAAACTGGCAATCAATTCTTAATTCTTTATTGTAAATTTTTCATTTCCAATTAATAGATAAAATATGTTTCTTGTAGGCCAATTCATAAGAAATTTTTCATCCCTTGCAAACTACAATACGGTATTGTGAAAGATGAATTTTTAAAAAGAATAGACTATCAGTTCAAAAAATTGTTCAGTTCCATTCAGTAACCTGTTGACATATATGATGAACTGAAAACTTATAAGGGGGGTTGGATGGCCGAATTGTTAGCTTAAAGGCGCACTGTATCATAAGGTCTGTCATTGAGTCAACTGGCGTGGTTTCGAATCCCCGGTTGTACGTGACAAGGAGTAGAGTCGCCTGTCCAACCTCGTGGGTTTTCTCCGGGCCCTCCGGTTTCCCCCCACTGCTACTGCTACGGGCAAGCGAATTATTGAAATAAAATTAAACCATATGTTAGTCCCAAAATGACCTAGTTTGTGTCAAGTGGATGTTAAACCCTCCCTCCCTCCTCTCTCTCTCTCTCTCTCTCTCCCTCTCTGAAAACTTAAAGGGGCATTATGTAATATTTTGATAAAGAGCTGGACGTTCTCACTATAATATTTCAGAAATAGAGACCGGTAATGCAAAATGAAGATATTGAAAATTTCATTCAAATTGCTTTATCTTGAGCGGGTGTGCGTTGTTCATATAAGGTCTGTCATTTAGTCAGCTGGCGGGGTTTCAATTCCCCAGTTGTACGTGAAAAGGAGTAGGGTTTCCTCCCACTGCTAGACCCCAATCCACAAGCGAATTATTGAAATAAAATTGAACCATATGTTAGTCCTGAAATATGTGTCGAGTGGACATTAAACCCCATTCTCTCTCTCTCTCTCTCTCTCTCTCTCTCTCTCTCTCTCTCTTTATTTTGAGCACAGTTATCAATGGTTGTGGTTTTGACAAGATGTGTGCATTGATCGTAAATATTGTACTGGTCACTCAAGTCTTAGCCTCAGTTCTCCATTTTTGAATTAAATCATTAAATATCTGAACTGTTCTAATCTACTTAAAATCGGAGGCATCTGATGTCATCGGGACTGGATTATGGTCTTGTCATGTTAAAGATACTATCCGGTGTACAAACTTTGTGATTTGGCGATATATTTCGACTAAAAACATATTCAAACCAATTAATCTATCAAAAATTTGCTTCAAATCCATCTCAAAACTTTATTTTCGTAGGGAGATACCTCAAGCTATGTTAGAGGCCATGTCAGCCACCTCAATTCATTAAGGGAGGGTCCATTTTTCAGAATTTATTTTTCATTACTTATTTTCCACTTAATTATTTTCCGTCAACTTCTTTTCCCACCATTTAATTGCAGAGTCTTTTGTACTTTAACACCCCTCAATGTTCCCAAAACCGCCCAACTAGTCAAGCTAGCACACAAAAAGCTGGCAGACAACAGTCGGGTTGCCAATTAGTGATACACTGACATTTTTGCCCAGTGCTTGCCACATGGGTGTTTTTCGGGTAATCCGGTATTTGTCTAGTAAAATTGGGGGTCTATACTTTACATATATACCAAATTTGTCATACTATTATTGGAAATAACCACCTGATATTAATTACTTTCGAGACAATGTCTCTTTAATAAATGTCTAATTAATAATTCATATAACATTTAAGGCCCAAAGAGAGACGTGCAATAGACCGATTTAGTAGCTCTTACTTAATGCCTGTTTACCAAAATATACAGGTGACAATTCTATGGAATACAACTACTGTTTATTACTGAGTGATGTTTTGACTAGACATTGATAACAACTAGAGAAGCCTAGTCGAAACATCGCTCAGTTATAAGCAGTAGTTGTACTCCAATAGAATTGTATTCCAGTTCAATTACTAAATACCATTGAAACAATTTGTCAATTACAGATTCAGATGTATTATTAAAGGAACAGGGAGCTGAGATCAACATATTTTACAGAGGATGGGATGTGGAGGATCCACCCCAACTCGGGAAGATCGAGCAGGATATAATAATCAAAATGGTGGATACACTGATCCCTACCCTGACCCCTACTACCCTGAACAAAACGATAACGTTCATAAAGGTTTGACAGAATATATACCAGACAGCGCAGTAGAATACGTAGATGACATACTCAACGAGAGAGGTTATGAAGATGAAAGGGCACCTATTCCAAAGCCTCAACCTCGACATCCCAAAATTGACGAAACAGATAAATTGAAATCTGATTCGGTGGACTATAAACCAACGACAGTTGGAACATACGAAGCTTACCGTGATTTCCGTCATAGTGGTGAACCGTTTGATGACGAAGACCGACCGTCTGTTGCACCAGGAGAATTGTGGGTAGATGAAGGTTTTACGCTCTATGAAGCAATAAAAGGACCAGATAGCGAAGGTTTAGAATGGAAACGGCCATTTGTAAGTTTTGTTATGGATGTTCTCTCACTTGTGTTTTCATTACTCAGGGCTGTTAATACATATAACCTAGGCTGGCTAGTGTAGTCAGGTCTTTCTCAGACAACCAATAAGAATGCTCATATCACACAACTTTCAATTGAGACCAATAATTATAGCATCTCCATAAATAACAGGTGCACAACCAATCAGGTCAGCAATATTATGGGGCTAGAACCACTTACCTAGGCTACAGTTTTTAATAGGCCTGGTTCTGCAAGGGTGTATTTTTATATCAGTGTCCACTTGTCAGTAAATTGGTCTCTCAGTGAGTAAGGCGTTGACTTACTTAACTTACTAACCAATAATCTCATGTTCCATCCCAGTGTTGGCCATGAAAGTTTCCAGGGATTTTTACCTTGTCAGTTTTACCTTGTCAGTAATGCAGCACAGAGGTCCTGGCTAGGGCAGCGTTTGGTCTTAGGATGATATGAAGAACCAAGGTCCTGGCTAGCGCAGCGTTGAGTCATTTGGATGATACGAAGAACTGAGGTCCTGTGTACATGTTCAAATGCACATAAAAGAACCCTTAACAGTTGGAATTCACTTGCTGTCTTGGCAAGATTTTCCTCATAAAATCCATATGGCTTATGCTCATCTTCATTAGAAGGGCGCAATATAGCCCGGTTGGAGCTGACATGTCATTAAACAACATTTCATTCATTATATAAAGCAGTTTTATTTCAGTGTGTTGGTAAAATGGGGGGAAGGGTGGGGGGAGATTCACACGTTTTATCATACGGTCTGTCATTTAGTCAAATGGTGTGGTTTTCATCCCAAGCTTCTGCAGGACAAGCAGTAGGGTAACCTGCAGGACAAGCAGTAGGGTAACCTGCATGCCCAACACAACCCACAAGCAGTAGGGTAACCTGCAGGCCCAACACAACCCACAAGCAATTCATCCCGAGCTTCTGCAGGACAAGCAGTAGGGTAACCTGCATGCCCAACACAACCCACAAGCAGTAGGGTAACCTGCAGGCCCAACACATACCACAAGCAAATTATTGGAATAAAACTCATGCATATCTTAGTCCCGAAATGACCATTTTGACTCGATTAAATGTTGACTCCTCTCCCTCCCCTCTCTGGGCATGTAGGCCTACAGAAAAATTTTGGACTGGTAAGATTTTAAAGTTACTATTAAAGGCCCTGGAAGTGCCCTATAATGTTGGAGCCACGGTGGCTAGGTGGTTAAGACGCTGGATCGTTAGCCTGGAGGTCGGGTGTTCGATCCCTGCATTGGCCGAGAAAGTTCATCTGGATTTTCCGACGTGGTTTCCCCTTGTCAGTGGTGCAGAACGGAGGGCCTGACAAGGACAGCTGCCTAGTCCTTCGGATGATACGAAAAACCGAGGTCCCGTGTATACATTGGAATGCACGTAAAAGATCCTTTGGCAGTTGGAATTTGATATAAGAGTAGGCGATAGTGCCGCTGCCCGGGCAAAATTTCCCTCATAGCACACTGTATGGCGTATGCCCGTCTTCATTAGCCCAGTATAGGAGCAGAACAGTAGGACGTTAAACCCCATTTCATTTCATTTCATTTCCCTATAATGTTTCAAATATAAAAACTTTAATTTATTATTTTTATATTTATTATCTTTTACCAAACCATAATTTTGTTTATTTTTTCTGGTCAGGAATTTTGTGAGAGTCCTGTGTTGTATTCTGATGGTACAACAAGGTTTGATATAGGTCAAGGGTCAGCTGGTACTTGTTGGTTTCTATCTATGGTGGCAAGTGTCTCGGAAAAAACAGAACTTTTAAAGAGAGTAAGTGTGGTACATTTAATATATCATTTATATTTGTTTGGTGGACTTGGTCTTCAGTATATTGCTATGGTTACCGAGAAGAGACAGGAAATCTGCATTATGACCTAAATGTAGTAATATTTGTTCGTTAGTTGAGAACATATTACAATAGTTAATGTCTGTTAATGATCAGAATCTATTGGTTTCAGGTTATTCCACATGACTCATATAGATTTAACACAGATCGATATGATGGTATTTTCTACGCTAAATTCTGGAGATTTGGACAGTGGGATAATGTTTTTATTGATGATTTTTTACCGGTTATTTACGGTGATCAACTGTGGGGAGCGAAATCTGCTACTGATAAAAATGAGATGTGGGTTGCCTTGTTAGAAAAGTCATTTGCCAGGTAAGATAATCTGTGAGTCAGAAGGATTGTTTTAAGGTCAAAGATCATGAAGATATTTGTTGCGTCAGTCAACGTGTGTGCATTGGATCGTAAGGACTGTCCTTGAGTCAAGTGGCAAGGGTTTCGATTAGGGTCACCTCAGAACTTGTGGGTTTTCTTCAGGTCATCCAGTTTCCTCTCGCTGCTAAAAACTTCTACACGCAAGCGAATAATTGAAATCAAATTGAACTGTTTGTTAGCCCCAAAATGACAGAGTGTGTCGAGTGGACGTTAAACCCCATCTATCTCTCTTTCTTCTTTATGGTACGTACAATTAGAGATACATTAGTTAAAAGTTTAATAAAGAGTTGGCCATTCTTGCTATAATAATTCAAAAATAGATGATAAAAAAAAATTAAAATAAAAGTCAAATAACTTACTTTATTCTGAATGGAGTTATCAGTGTTTGAAGTTTGAACTAGAATTAAATAGGCATTAACTGTGTCTGCACCAGTGATGGGATTTCAAAATTTTAGTTATCTGACATTTTCTTCCCGAAAATAAAGGGACATAACTCTTATCGTTATTTAAGGAGACGTTTTCAAACCACAATTAAGAATCACGTTTCAACAAAATATTCAAATTCATACGTAATAAAAAAAAAAAAGGTGCACCTCATGATTTTTCATATTTAATTCCCGTACGGTATTCAAATTTATGTCAATAATATTCCTAAAAAATTACATGACATCGTAATACCATAGAATGAAAGCGTGCCGACTACTGCCCATCCGTTACCCGGTTTCAAATTCCCCCCATATTACCGTATTTTTCGGGTCATAAGTCGATACATTTTTCAGCAAAGTCAGGCATTCATCTTATACTCTGTTTCGATTTATATACGGAAGGTAAAAAAAATGACATCCCGAAATTTATTTGGCCGTAAACCGTAGTAATAAAAAACGTCGCTCTAACACAACAAGCGAGTGACACCAACTGCTAAATAATCCCATTCGACTCTATCGTCTAAAACAATTACCGTAACTACTTACGTTATTCCAATCGAAATATTCGTCAACATTTCTTAGCATGTTTATTTATTTATTTTAAAACATAAAATAATCTTGTCTCGCAAGATTTCTACTTTCATTTTGCTGTGTGTGTGAAATAGCTTTATTTAACTTCGGCTTCCACTGAAGAAATATCACAGACAAGTTATCGGACACAATGTATATTGATTTGCGGTGTTATATACTATTAGGATATGTGACATCTATGACTAATGTCTACGGCCGACATCAAGCAGATTAAAACGTGAGACAATGGTTAATCACGTAGATTAAGTTTATTGGATTGATATATAGTCCGACAAAGGAGAAGCAATGACTTCTGTTCAGGATTGAATTGATGAATTGTCCGACAAAGAATTAAGTCAGCCAATCAAGGCAGATTAAGTAGTAAATCAAGGTAGGTGTATAGGCGGCATAAAACGATAAATACGTTGATCACTTAATTACCTAATCAATCCAGCCTATCATCAACGATAATCGGGTTGAGTGGTAGTTATGCACTCAGTACACTATATTAATTTTGGAATTTTGAATATTATTTACCATGTCTTGATGTCCGATTGGGCATATTCCTGGTTGAACAATTTAGGGCGTTTGGAAAATAGCGTCGGACATGTCCAGAATATACGGACAAAATCACATCATTGGTCTGCACCGTCTACGAAAATTGCCAATTGTTTGATTGACAGACTACAACCCCACCCACATATTCTCGATTATCAAGTAACATTCTCAATTGCTGTGGTACCCTCGCTTGACGTCAGTGACTAACACTAAACATCAGCTTGATCAGCCATTTATTGATTTAATTTTAAATGGACGACTGTTTAAATCCAAACTGTACCCAAGCCATCCATGAGTCTACAGATTTGTTTTTGAGCTTGTCTTGTAAACAAAGATCTAATTAATAATTTCTATAACATCTGAAGCCTAAATAAAGACTTGCAATAGACAGATTTAGCTTGTGCATAATGTTGGTTTAAGATTGTAAAGTGTATTTTCTATTTTCAGATTATTTGGTGCATACAATGAAGTATATGGTGGCCAACCTGGTGATGCCTATTTAGCTCTAACAGGTGGTGTTGTCGAGAGAATTGACTTTGACGAGAAAAAGATCAGACCAGAAAAACTCTTTCAACGGGTCAAAAATTCTCTACAGAGTCGTTCCCTTGTGTCCTGTGTTGTTCCTGTAAGTATAGAAAAATACACGAGAACCAAGGTGCCTCATTGAATAAGATGTTGACTCGCTAACCTGGACATCTGTCCTGTGTTCGATCCCAGTGTTGGCCTAGACAGTTCATCAGGATTTTACAGTGTGGCTCCCCCTTGTCAGTGATGTGGGATGGACTGTCTGACAAGGGACACTGTATAGTTGTTCGGATGTTACAAAAAAGCGATGACTATATTATATCTATCTGTCTATGGTGAATGTATAATTTAATAGTTGAGGAGGAGTGTGATGACTATACATGTATATATGTATAGTTTATGTTGAGATATATTATTAAAGTTCAGGAGGAGTTATTATATTATATGGTTTATGTTGAGTTATCATATTATATTTCAGGAGGAGTATGATGAAGTAATGGGTTTAATTGGAGGCCACGCCTACTCTTTAAATGGAACAGCTATGGCAAGTTATTTTTATTTTTTTGGCTAAGTAGTCTACATGAGAAATGTTGCAACAAGGATTGTGTGTCTCATCTGTACCGAGATTTCACCATTATAACATTTCTACAGAGTGATGATCACCACGTTATTAGTGTTTGCGGAAATTTTGTCATTAAAGGAAATTACTATAATCTGGGAAAGAACATATATAGGCTTTGTCTGTTGTTCAATCTTTTCAAATGAATAAAATATTGTTTAAACTAAAATTACTATAATATGTTAGTTAGTATCATATGATTAAAGTTTTGTGTTGACATGTTCCGTTAATTTATTTCAATATTTATGTCATGATTTTATCAATCTAGGTTCAAACGGGAAATGGTGAAAACGTACGTCTGGTTCGTGTGAGGAATCCATGGGGTCACACAGAATGGAACGGAGCTTGGAGTGATGGGTATGTGATATAATATATCAGCTATATTGTTCACCTGGTTATTCAGATACTGCTTACATTGTTGGTTTGGAAACTTGTCTCCTAAACAAAGATTACTGAATTGAACCATGTGTTAGTCCTTTGTGGTTTGTGTTGAGTGGATGTTAAACCCCATTTGGCTCTCTCTCAAATATATCTGGGAACAGCTGTTTTAATGCCAGGAATAATCCCCATTCTATATATTCTACTATAGGAGTGCTGAATGGCAGCAGTTACCTCCAGGAACTGTAGAAAATCCAGTAAAAGATGATGGCGAGTTTTGGATGGCATTAGAAGATTTTCTACAATATTTCTCCCAGTTAACAATATGTTCGATAACACCAGATATAGATTGTGATGGTAGTGCAGATTGTCTCAGTAAGTTCTTCACAATCCATCATCATTTTCATGTCCCCATTTATTTCCTTATTACTTTAGCCAAAAAAGCTTTGAGTAATTCGTATTCTGAATATTCTGAATTACAACATCAATCAGCCGTCCCGTCATTTACATTGAATCAATATTGTATAATCAGGCCTTCAATCGTTGGGGTGTGAAGCCACAAAAGATTAACAAGCAATAAACCAATCAATTATCAGTGAGATTAAAACTCGCTTGCATAGGTCTTTAATTGTTGATTACTTTGATAATTGGTAAAAGAGCGCTTGGTATTTGATCTTAGTTTCTCACGTCAAATACAGTGACATTATATATAAATTTCTGCGATGAAGAATCATTATACAATATTGTGCTCAAAATGTTTATCATTTTTAAAGGGAATAACGTTCTGGGAATTCAAAGCTACATTATAATAATACTTCTGGTTTTCGAAGTAACAATAATACTTCCGGTTTTGAGAAAACTGAGTATTCCGACACACAATATTGGATCGTGGTCAATCTGGAAAATATCTTTCCATGTTTATATCCACAATTCTAACCCTAACCCTTCAGAATAGTTTTAGCCACAATCCACCATTTTTACAGCTTCAATTTGTACGTTTGACATGTAAATTGTAAACCTACCCCTAACTCTAACCCTAGAAAGATATTTTCCAGATCAACCAAGATCTAGTATTGTATTATTCTGACATTCTGCGTAATCCAACATAATGTTGTTATATAGTGATAAGTCTAGTTACATAAGTAGTTAATTGTGGTCTGAATCTTAGTTAAGCTTGAAAGAGTTACCTTCCTTTAACTGTCTTTGCCTTTGATTTATAAAAAGAATTATTGATGTTTCTACTTTGTATGAGTGATCTGCCCTTGGGGGAAGAGAATAAACATGTGGATCATTGAATGGTGTTTTCTTTATTGAGAGTTAAAGATTGAGAAATAGTGACACCCCCAGTGGGATTAAACCCACATAACATGGTGGAGACGCCAGATCTTTCCCTGAAGTAACTTTATAGTCATTGAATTTGAGTGGATGCCATGACTTTTCTTCGATTGAATTGGATTTGATTTTTATTTTGTGCCAGCCAAACTCGCCTGGTTTGAGTCAAGCCCAGCTTTAACTTTTCAGGCTGCTTACAGCTTAATTAGGCCTATCACTGTGAATATTCGCATTGTCATTGTGTGAAAAGACAATTATTGTGCCTATTTGTGGTTGCAGTTTGACTTTGTTCAAGAACATTTTTATCATTTTCATTGTGAAATTTTGGTGAGGTATCCTAGTTCGTTTGTAGTATTCCACTTCATTGAATTATTAGCCTAGATCTAGACATGAACACTGCCAAGAATCAGTTAGACCTAATTTAGCCTGTCATGCCTTTTATAAACATTAAAGCAAAGATGCAGTAATATGAATGATGACGAATGAAAATGATTACAAACTTTTGTGTAGATGAGCTCAGATCAGATCTTATTTACAAGCTGAACAATTTCAACTTCCAGTTTTTAAAATCATTGAATGTGTGCTGTGTCCAGTGACATTTGATTCATTTTCAACTCCCTAGCGATTCCTGTTATAATTCCTACGCTGTATGTGGATCTGGTCTCCAGGATCTCATGGAATATTATTTCTATGGAAATTTAGTATGTCATTGTTTGCACATTACTTTTTTACTAGCATGAATTCCTTGTTTCAAAATAACATTATATTTTTGTATAGGTCATGTGATGTATATATTTGTATCATGTGATGTGTATATTTGTGTAGGTCATGTGATGTGTATATATGGTGAATGGAAGGGAGAGACAGCAGCAGGTTTTCCTGATCGTGTCAATAATCCACGGTATATATTTACTGTTGGTAACGAAGGTATGACAGGTGATGGTATGATACCGATAGTTATACAAGTTATACAGAGGACAGTACATAGAAAGGCTGACAGGTTCTCTATTAGATGTGATCTATATCAGGTAAGTTCTAACTATAACAGGTTCGCTATTAGATGTGATCTATATCAGGTTGGTTCTAACTATAACAGGTTCGCTATTAGATGTGATCATATCAGGTTGGTTCTAACTATAACAGGTTCGCTATTAGATATGATCTATATCAGGTTGGTTCTAACTATACTATTCAAAAAAAGTAGGGGATATTTGATTTTGGGGGCATAATACTAAAATATGCAAATAACTACGAAAAAGGTCACTATAGAACCTAACAGAAGAAACATTTCCAGTTACATGTGACGCCCAAACGCACCAATAGCTACCGCATGGAATGCAGGTGATGCTTGGGATCATCATGGGGGTCCAACCCAAGATTTGCACGACTCTGACTTTGAATGTTACAGTCATTGTGGCATTGAATTCCAGGGTGGAAACATCAGTTTAATTGTTTTAGTGACCAGAAAACAAATTTTGATATGTGTCGGCTTACCCAAAATGAAAGGTTACGTGCCCTTGGCATGCTACAGATCGGCACAACACAGGCGGTTGTGGCGCGGACTATGAATGTTTCTCAGTCTGTCATAAGCAGGCTATGGTCCAGATACCGTGATACACAATCTGTACAGGACAGACCACGCTCAGGTCAACCAAGGGCGACAACTCAAGCCCAGGATCGATTTATCCGTACCTTGGCCTTGAGAAATCCTGTCATCACAGCAAATCAGATCAGCGCTCGTCTTCAAACAGACACTGGTGTGAGAGTGAGTGGCCAGACGATTCGGAATCGACTGCATAGGGGTCACCTTTGCGCCCGACGTCCTCGCGTGATCCCTTGTTTGAGAGATCATCACATTCAGGCAAGACGTCGTTGGTGTAGGGATCGTCAACACTGGGATAATCGACGCTGGAGCAATGTGATGTTTTCAGATGAGTCAAGGTTCACTGTTGATTTTTTGGACAGACGTAGGAGGGTGTGGCGTCGTCGAAACGAGCGCTTCCAAGACGTTAACGTCATCAGACATGATCGATTTGGGGGTGGTTCTGTTATGGTGTGGGGAGGCATCACTGTTGCTGGAAGAACGGCTTTACATGTTGTTGCAGGGCGTGTTACAGGCCAGTACTACCGGGACAACATCTTGGCAGTCCATGTTGTGCCGTTCGCACGACGTCATGGCCGCCGTTTCATCTTCCAGGATGACAACGCAAGATGTCACAGGGCCAGGATCGTTACAGGTTACCTCCAACAACAGAACATCACCACATTACCTTGGCCAGCACTGAGTCCCGACCTCTCCCCCATCGAGCATGTCTGGGACATGCTTGGACAGAGGTTACGTCAACGTCAACAACGTCCTGCCAATGTCCAAGAACTTGCTGCTGCGTTGCAATAGGAATGGGACAATCTGGACTAAAATGACCTTAGACGTCTCATTAGGAGTATGCCACGTCGGATCAATGCTTGTTTGGCAAACAGAGGAGGATTTACCCGTTACTGACTTGGTTGTGATGCTGTGGTAACTTTGCTGTTTGACCCCGGGTATCATTTTACCCTTATAATGGTCAGTCTGTGCCTTACTTAGTCTAACAATCATTTGGAATAAATCGATGAATGTGAACTTCATTTCATTTTGTCATTTGTTTCTTCGTCAGTTTCATTAGGTGACTTTAATAACACTTAAAAATCAAATATCCCCTACTTTTTTTGAATAGTATATAACAGGTTCGCTATTAGATGTGATCTATATCAGGTTGGTTCTAACTATAACAGGTTCGCTATTAGATGTGATCTATATCAGGTTGGTTCTAACTATAACAGGTTCACTATTAGATGTGATCTATATCAGGTTGGTTCTAACTATAACAGGTTCGCTATTAGATGTGATCTATATCAGGTTAGTTCTAACTGTGATATACCTGGAAGGAAACTTGTTCGCTTTGTTGATAGAAGTTTCTCTGTCGCAGCTCCTCCACTTAGGAATCAACTACCATCCAGAATCAAAGAATCTGAAACTTTTACTGTTTTCAAATCACAGCTAAAGACTGATTTATTCAAACTATCTTATCCATTAACAGAACACAGATTACATGGGAAACAATCACTGTTTTTATTCTAAAATCATAACGAATTGACAAGTATCCTTTTATCGTTATCAAGCACAATTGATAACGATAAGAGGATGCTTGTCGAAACGTCGTGCTTTTAGAATAAAACTAGTGATTATATCCCATGTAATCTGTGTTCTGTTAATGTGTTTCCCAATTGCTAAATGCCACTTAAAGATTATCTTATCCAGATTACTAACTTTTATTTTTGAGCTTGCATTTTATGGATGAAGTATAGCGCATTATAAATATACATATTGGATATTATTACGACCCTGATTTACGAGATTTTTCATGATGCTCTCGACGTACCTGCAGAGCTAAACAGTTCACAGGTTATATAAGTGACAGGATGTCCATAAATAAATTTGTAATATCATGTCATCAAGTTATACACAGAAACTGACCAGACAAAAACCTTTATTACTTTCTTTTCTAAAAATCTGAAATATCTTTCTGTGCTATTATCTTCAGGTATCTGGAGAGAAATTGGCGTCGGTGCCATCGTATGTTTTAGAGATGGAAGGTGGAGATGACGAGACCAATGTTTATTCACCAGAAATACAGACGACTCACAGACATCACGTGAAACCAGGGAAATACGCTGTTATACCTTCGTGTATTGAACCAGGACAGGAAAAAGAATTTTTAGTCCGAATTTTTTCTGTTTCTCCTCTTCAAGATGTCAGGTAAGAATATAAAAGAATTTAACCTTTAAAATGCAATAAATACGATGTACTATTAACCAAATGTGATGTATCCTATCAAAAATCGATGTCTGTCAATTGATGTCCAATTGTCCAAGCAGTGAAAAGTGTCAGGACACACTTGATTTAATGATTGGTGTTACATGGAATGTAAATCAGATGGCTAGAGTATTACTCTGAACACTGTCCCACTTACTCTGAACACTATTCCTCTTACGCCAAACACTGTCCCACTTTTTTTCTTTTTTTTAAACAATATTTTATATAATAAATATAGGATACGATAACAAGCTTTATCAGCTTATATAAAATCGCTTCCTTTTGTTAGAAATTGTCACATTCTTAACTGTCAAACTTTGAAGTAAAAGCCCTCTTTGGACTTTACAATCAATTGGGTGGGCTGTACAATATATTGGACTGTACAATAGTTTGGACTGTACAATGGACTGGACTGTACAACAGACGGGACTGTACAATAGGTTGGATTGTACAATAGAATTTTATATTTTTACAGAGAAATGTCAAGAAGTGCTGTAATTATGTCATGTGAGCAGGAGAAAGTTTTACAATATAATGGACAAGAACTTACATTAGGTTTGTATTTCATCTTGTAAACAATTAGAAGCCACGGTGGCTAAGTGGGTAAGATGCTGGCTGGCTAGCCTGGAGGTTGCGTGTTCAGTCTCTGCATTGGCCGAGAAAGTTCATTGGGATTTTCCGGCGTGGTTTCCCCTTGTCAGTGGTGCAGGACGGAGGGCCTGACAAGGACAGCAGTCTAATCATTTGGATGGGATACCTTGGCCTGCACGTAAAAGATCCCTTGTCAGTTGTAATTTGATATAAGGGTAGGCAATAGTGCTGCTGCCCGGGCAAAATTTCCCTCATAACATACTCTGTATTCAGGTGGGAGGCATGGTGGCTGAGTGAAGAAGGGGCTTACAAGTCAAGGATCATGGTTTCAATCCTCTGACATGATATAGCTTTATGCCAATAATTATGCGAGGAACCCAGAGAAAACTCACAAGATCTGGCAGGCGACTCTATTCCTTGTTACATAACATACCAGTGGAGGTTCAAACCAAGGACTGTTTAAACTATATTATTCATGATTTGGACACTCAATAGTTACAGATAGAAATGTGACTATATATTTGATTGGTTGTTTTATTACAGATAGATGTATGACTATATTTGATTGGTTGTTTTATTATAGATAGATGTATGACTATATTTGATTAGTTGTTTTATTATAGATAGATGTATGACTATATTTGATTGGTTGTTTTATTACAGATAGGTGTATGATTTGATTGGTTGTTTTATTACAGATAGGTGTATGACTATATTTGATTAGTTGTTTTATTACAGACAGATGTATGACTAGGGCTGTGTCGATATATCGATACACCGATATGTATCGATACGTTCCAGCTATATTTATATGGCCGTATCGCCCGTATCGTTGAAAATATTATTAAGTTAAGAAAGACCATGAATTGAAGCCTACGTGACGAAATAAGACGATCTCGGCATGGTTTGCCAATCGAGCGGCTTCCACGCCGCGTATGAATTCCAGGTACCGGTAGATATTATAATAACTGGATCATACATTGATGGATTCATTGACCAATTGTTAGGTTAATTTAAATCTTCATTGAATATTATCCCCTGATAGAACACCGAATACACCGAGAAACAATCATTTAATAATATATTAATGTATCGACACAGCCCTATGTATGACTATATTTAATTGGTTGTTTTATTACAGATAGATGTATGACTATATTTGATTGGTTGTTTTATTATAGATAGATGTATGACTATATTTGATTAGTTGTTTTATTATAGATAGATGTATGACTATATTTGATTGGTTGTTTTATTACAGATAGATGTATGACTATATTTGATTGGTTGTTTTATTATAGATAGACGTATGACTATATTTGATTGGTTGTTTTATTATAGATAGATGTATGACTATATTTAACTGGTTGTTTTATTATGGATAGATGTATGACTACATTTAATTGGTTGTTTTATTATAGATAGATGTAGGACTATATTTGGAGAATGGAGGCAAGGTATGAATGCAGGAGGACAGGTGTCAAATAGAGAAACTTTCAGTACAAATCCACAGTTTTATTTTACAGTACCTAATTCAGGTAAAACAACTTTGAACTCATATTCATTTTTTAGCATTTAATGAAAGAAAACAAAATCAAAACAGCAATGCTAAATAATCTCCCGGAATGGATTCCGTTAAATTTAAAACAAGTCTGTCTATTAGATTGTGCGAAACAAAGATGCTGGTGAGCTTGTTTACATAGGGAGCAGCGTAGATCGATGGAATTTCAATTCATTATATCTTTGTTTCGGATGGGACGAAAAACCGAGGTCCCGTGTACACATTGGTGTGCATGTAAAAGATCCCTTGGCAGTTGGAATTCGTTTTAAGAGTAGGCCATAGTGCCGCTGCCCGGGCAAAATTTCCCTCATAGCACACTGTACGGCGTATGCCCGTCTTCATTAGCCCAGGTTAGGAACAGAACAGTAGGACGTTAAACCTCATTTCATTTCATTTATCATATCTTTGTAAATACTAAACAGTATTAACTAATGTTTGGTGTGTCATTCATATTAGAGATTCAACTTTTACATTATTGTAGTTTGCAAGGGATTCTATAATGCTAAAATCATGTTCAGAGTTTTTAACGCAAAGTTGGGATTATTCAGGATGTACAGTAATAGTGAGTGCAGTGGAACTGCACAATTACCCAAAACATATCCACGGACAAGACACAATACGCAGAAATCACAAACAAACGAACATATCAAATTAAGTGAATGGATCCAGGGGCTAGCCGTAAGCGTCCACTGGGCTGTACAGTCCCGGGCCTGTAGTGATAGACTTCACTCAAAATTGAATACAAACAATCAGGAATATAACCCAGAGAAAACCATTATGTAATACCAGCATGCGTCATGATCTGCTATATGCCACATGAAATATGAATGTAAGCATATTGAAGTAAAATTTAAATGTAAACTATCTCGAAAGACAGCTGACTGAATGATGTGACATAAAAGGCGGTAGGTTACCAAATGACGTCAAAAAGTATAAATGGCATAATACTAAGCACACTGTCCATAATTATGCCCAGCACAGGTCCAAATCACCCAGCATTGGTCCACAATACCCAGCACAGGTCCACAACACCCAGCAATGCCAGCATAGCCCCACAACACCCAGCACAGGTCCAGTACAGGACCACAACACCCAGCATAGTCCCACAATACACAGCACCAGTCCACAACACCCAGTATAGTCCCACAACACTCAGTATAGTCCCACAACACCCAGCACAGGTCCAGTACAGGACCACAGCACCCAGCATAGTCTCACAACACACAGCACATTCCACAACACCCAGCATAGGTCCACAACACCCACCCATTTATATAATGGATCATGGATATTTATATAATGGATCATTGATATTTATATTTATATAATGAATCATGGATATTGTATATTTATATAATGTATAAATGTATAATGGATCATGGACATTTATATAATGGATGATGGATATTTATATAATAGATGATGGATATTTATATTTATATTATGGATGATGGGTATTTATATAATGAATATTTTCAGGTGAATTAGAACCAGTTGTATTTCATGTTATGCAGGAGCAGGATGATAATAAATCTCCAGTTGGTCTACGACTTTTCCCGGTAAATATGTGCTTTATGTTATTATAATATGGTTTATAATTATGTGAATTACACAAAATAGAGTAAGCTGATGTCATACAAAAATAAATTCATCTCATTTTAGCTAACATCTAGCATTTGCTTAATATTCCAGAACGTTCACCATCAATGCTATCTCTCTCTCTATCCAGGCCCGGTCTCACAAAGAATTCTTAGACTTGAGTTAAGAATTTACTCAACTTTCAATCACTGTTTATGAGAAATATCTTGGATCCAGAAACACAGAAATTTGCACATATACAGTTTCTTACTGATGTATTTGATACATTAAAAAAATAAAAGTTGTATAAAGGGCGATTTCTTATTTAAAATAAGGTGAACAATTTTGAGAATGAGGTCTTACAAGTATAGTGTTGCCTATTCATTCAGATGAGACAGAAAAACACGAGATCCACACATGTATATATTTGTGTACAGTTGAAAGAAACCTCGATAGAAATCAAAGAAGACAACGTGACAATGCTGCTGTCTGGGCAAAATTCTCCTGCCTTGGATTACTTGAAATATCCCTTGAAATGTAAAAACTACGATAAATGATTGAAATGTTTTGTTGACATGGTTAAAACCGTGAGTGATCTGTAACAATGCTACTGTCTGGGCAAAATTCTCCTACCTTGAAATAAAAACTAGGATAAATGACTGAAGTCTTTTGTTGATATTTAACCATCAGTATTTTTACTTTATTTTTGCAGTATAATGGATCTGTATCACTACCTCTTGATGTTGATTACATGTATAATGTCTACGAAAGTAGTCCCCAGAATATAGACGGACAACAGGGAAAGTTTGTGGTGACGTGGGATTTAGATGTTAAGTATGTTTTACCTGCAGGAGAATACATTGCCTTAATACACATGGACAAGCCAACAGATGAAGCAAAATATGCTCTAACTATCAAATCTAAACATGATTTAAATATCACGTAAGTAAACATTTTACTCTAGAACAGGTAAAACCAACTACTAACAGCCTAGTGAGCCTAATGGTAGTACTGGCCTGTAGATGGCACTTAATTTGTTCCCAGTAAAATAATGTTTGTCTCTCAACCCCTTCTCACTCACCCTAGATCACCAAGGCCCATTATTATGTTTAATTGATGGTTTGTAAGTATATATGTATTTTAATATTTAGTCAGTAACTGTTTTGTTAACCTGGGGATTAAAAGGATTTTTTTAAACATACATTATGCAAAGGCTAAATCTGCCTATTGCAGGTCTTTCTTTAGGGCTGAAATGTTATATAAACTGTTAATTAGACATTTATTAACAAAACAAGACCATAATCAACTCTCGATGGCATCGGATACTCAAGATTTTAACTAGATTAGAATGGTTAAACATTTGATTTAAAAATGTGAAAACGAGCCTAGGTCTCGAATATACCAGTGCCCTGGTTACCACAATGCACACATCTTGTCAAAACTACAAACAGTGATAACTTGGCTCAGAATAAAGTAATTTGAATGAAATTTTCAATATTTTCATTTTACATTATCTATTTTTGAGCTATTATAGCAAGAATGGTCAGCTCTTTATCTAAATCTTACTGAATGTATGTTTAAGGAGTGGGTGGGTGAGGGTGGTATAAGTTATCTTTAAGGAGTGGGTGGGTAAGGGTGAGGAAGGTATAAGTTATCTTTAAGGAGTGGGTGGGTAAGGGTGAGGAAGGTATAAGTTCACCATGGAGCAACTAACGATTTCGTGAGCAACAATGTATAAATTGATTATGAATTGTTATGATGTTGAACATGAAATTTTAATTTTATTTCAGTGCCTATCAAGCTGGTTAGTAAAATAAAGCAATAATTAACAACATTTCAACTTGAATTATTAACACAGGCTTAATGTTTGAGTTCTCCTAGATAATATGGACTTATTTAATTTCTAAATGCAACCACTTCCCCAGCCCCTTCACAATCCAGCTTCCTTAATTAATGATTCTAGTATAAATGCCATTAAATAACAAAACTTCCAGGAGGATTCATATATAATTTTATGATATTTGAACCAGGGCTGATGTTTCAACTCATATTTTATGATATTTGAACCAGGGCTGATGTTTCAAGTCATATTTGCCAATCTTGCCGATGTTACCTGTCAGTCAATTAAAAAGCCATAAAATTAAAATTTCAAAGCACAATAAATAAAGTTAAATTTATAGGTTAACTAAGAAGGGACATTTGTAAACATATATAAAAGCATTGGAATATGATAAAAATTGTTACATACTTAGGAAAGGAAATCATGTTTATACCAAGTAAACAAAATACATCAAAACTCGAAGTGACAGCCCTTATTTGCCCCCCCCCCCCTTGCCCTCCAATTCTTCCAATACAATTGTTTATGCAATCTCCATCATACAATCCTCATTGTAAACTATATCAATATGGGGATATATCATGGATAGTCAAACTATATCAATATGGGGATATATTATTATACAGAAGCCTGGTTTTAGAATCAAAGATGAAGAATCTCTGTATGTTGTTAAAATTGTTTGTTTCCTTCCATTTGTTGATATAATTATTATAGCCAAATATCATTATATTATTGTATTTTATTTATTTGTGTTCAGATATTTATATTATATGAGTGTTATTAAAATGAGATTCACCATCGAATCTCCAAATATATATAACTCATTTATTAAAGGGGTGATTCCAAATATGTTTAGTGAAATAAATGTGTTAATTCCTTGGGGAAGGCTCTTACACTGAACAGTGAATTTCCTGAAATAGGTTGCAATAAGTTTCAGACTGGTGCATCGTTCACTTGTAAACTACATTATTGCGAAAGTTTAATCTTTAATAAGAATATCAGTCCAAAAATGGTTCAGTTCAGTATTTAAGTTGAATTGATATTTGATTGATCTGTGCTGCCTGATATCCAATAAACCAGCTGCCATTTTGTTGTTTGCCCACATAATAGTGTGGCCTATGTTAAATCCGATTGAATCCTTGCTGGGATATTATCTAGGTATTTTGATTTGAGTTAATTAATTAATTAATTGTTAAATAATCAATATTTAGCGTGCATTACACCAGATACATTTTATATTTTATCGAAAATGCAAATGATCAAACCTTTAAGTGAATGGCTCGATATTTTGAGCTCAAACTTTCAGAGAGCCTAATTCTTCACATATGATCAAACCTTGAACTGCTCTTTTAAACTTTATAATTTGTTTTTAATCTCAAAATGTTATGTCTTCTAATTGTTAAGTTTATGTTTTTCTAATATATATATATATATATATATACACATCTGTGATATTTTTTTTATTTTTTAAAAAAAAAATGCTTTAATTGAAGTTTTATTATATTAATGAATTTGGGTCAAAACAAAAATCTGTTTTACCCTACAACTCTAATATATATTTATTTATTTCACCTTGAAATATTTTATGACATTAATACTAATATTGGTTTAAAATATATAATCCATGAGACATAATTAATTAAACATTACGATTCCGTCCTAGAAAAATTTCAAATCTTTTAAAAGAAAATAAGAACATTACAGAAATGAATTATAGTGTACAAGCCTATAATATTGTACCCAAAATTAAATACACTTCATATCCATTTTTATTTGTCAATAATGTTTTAAATATGTTGAAAATATGTTTATAGTTGTTGGCATATTTCTGATATTCTGTGCATAAAAGATTAATTTTATTATGATTAGTTATACAGTATTATAACTTTTAACATCACAAAACAGATACATCTAGTTGGATACCTACTGTAAACAGATACATTCATATAAATTACATGGGTATTATTTTACATAGTTATTGTCAAAATTCTACCTCAGTTTATTTTATAAATATCTAATTAAATGTTCCATGACTATAAATATTCCATGGGTAGTTATTTTCCCAACAAAACCATTGACATTGTTTTAATTAATTTCATTTTGAAGTGTGTTAATGAATTTGGTTTAAAAATGTACAATAAATTTATCCTCGCTTTGAGCACCTGCCACCCCCACCCCACCCCACCCCACCTTAGCCTTCCCGACATGGCATGCAAAGACTGTTTATACTCTGAGAGTCGACAATTCTAGTTTTTGATCTGCAACTGTGCCGTGTTAACCCAGAGGCAAGTAAGTGTACCATATGATATGCGACCCACATTTTCAAGCTCTCCACTGTAAGTGTTTCAACTTATCAATAACAATGTAGAAATTTAATTACTTTACTATGAAAGTAAAATATTTGTTTGTTGTAATATTTATGTGTATTTATAAAATTAGACCACAGTAATAACACATGTTACATTCACTGCACTAGCTTAAAGGACAATATTGGTGTCAGTCATTATAAAATATGTGATAGAGCTCGTTAAATACATCCCAAATATAATTTTAACACAGAGATCATTGGTACGATAGCTGAGTAACAAGCACGTGAAGAAACGGGAAGTGACGTCAAACATGACAAACATGAGTTGTCCTTCTATATAACAGACTGAAGTAACGAGCGGTAACAGACAGACGATCGAATTTCATTTCACTGATAATTCCGTTGAAGTTGAAAAGTTATTAGATGGGACGGTGAGAGGGTATCTCACAATTCAAAAATAGAATTGGCTGTCACTAGATAAGGGACACGGGAAAAATAGAAAAATCCCGTGCATTCCCCCGTTTTTATTCATTCTGTTCTTAATAAAAAACATGGTAATGCACGGACTTTTTCTAATTTGTTCGTTATCTTTTATCTACTGACAGCCAATTCTTTTTTTGAATTGTCAGATATCCTCTCATCGTCTCATATAACAACTTTTCATCTTCAACTGAAGTATCAGTGAAATGAAATTCGATCGTTTGTCTGTTACCGCTCGTTACTTCAGTCTGTTATATAGAAGGACAACTCGTGTTTGTCATGTTTGACGTCACTTCCCGTTTCTTCACGTGCTTGTTACTCAGCTATCGTAGCAATGATCTCTGTGTTAAAATTATATTTGGGATGTATTTAACGAGCTCTATAACATATTTTATAATGACTGACACCAATATTGTCCTTTAAGCTAGTGCAGTGAATGTAACATGTGTTATTACTGTGGTCTAATTTTATAAATACACATAAATATTACAACAAACAAATATTTTACTTTCATAGTAAAGTAATTAAATTTCTACATTGTCCTTTAATCTCGTCCTGGTTGTTGGATATAACTGATCATGACATTGATGTTTTTGTATTTTATTGTATTCTTGATCCAATTCCTGCCACACCAGTCCAAATCTAGACCGAATCTTCCCCTCTATATAGTACTATGTACACATATATAGGTAAACTCCACTAGACACAAACTAAGTCACTTTAGGAATAACATATGTTACAATTTATTAAAATAATTCGTTTGCCCACTGTAGTCTTTAGCAGTGATAGGACACGGAGAAAACCCACGAGGTTCGTTAGGCGACCCTACTTCTTGTCACAAACAAGCGTTGGGATCTAAACCATGCCAGTTGTCGGTAAAAGGTATCTTGTTGATTCGAAGACAAGGCAGAAAGCCACTGTACGGACAAAAGTCTCCCCTTCGCATTGTGCATGTAACCATATAAATGTAAATCACGTCTAATAAATTTAAAAATGAGCGAAGTATTGTGTTGAGACGTTAAACCCCACTCTATTCAAGGAGTTTCAGTCTAGTCATGGCACAATTATCATTTCGTATTATCACATAAGGGGGGGTTGGATGGCCGAATGGCAAGAACGTGCGCTTGAGTCAAATGACGTGGTTTCCAATCCCTGGTTGTACATGACAAGGAGTGTGGTCGTCGGTCCAACCTCGCGGGTTTTCTACGGGTCCTCCCATTGTTAAAGACCCCTACGCGCAAGCGAATTATTGAAATAAAATTAAACCATATGTTAGTCCCGAAATGACCTGGTTTGTGTCGAGTGCACGTTAACCTCCCTCTCTCTCTCTCTCTCTCTCTCTCTCTCTCTCTCTCTTTCATAAATATGATTTATTTTTATGCACATGTTTGAAAATCAAATCCAATTATCTCCTATTGATATATATTATTGCACTGTGATTATTTACTGCTGAAAATAAAATATATTTTATGTTAATAGTTTGCAAGAGCATTTTTTATTATGTAAATCCACTGCTCAGGCATCCTCGTTTATGACATCTTTAGTTTGTTTTAGAAAACTTATTCCATCAAATGTGTTTTGGAGATATTCTTAATTTATACATCCATGAAAATATCTTTTTTGATATTCGAGTTTGAATATCGAAAAACGAACTACTTGATTTTCATTATTCGCCAATATCGAAAAACGAAAACTGAGCTAACTTCACACTGCCAATTAACAATGTGTTAGCCTACTATAACGCGATTGACGGTGTCTAAATATCCCAGTTTACCCAGCACAAACCTAGCAAATAACCCAATTCTACGCAATATTACCATACCCAGTATTATCAAATGATCACCCAATATCTTCAAATATCAGCATATACTATTATAATTACTGCAACGAATAACCCAATAACTCCATATTAAATTGAATAGCGGCATATCTGTAGAATAATTGTAACGCCTTTACCAGTATCATCAAATAACGCCATATCTATATGTTTACCGCAATGTATCACTTCGCTAAATGTGCAATGAATAAGGAAAGCTGTTCTTTGTTTTATATTTTAATCATTTAATACCATTTAATGGGTGCGAAATCAAACAATTCTTAAAATGTATATATACTAAGCCATGGGCGCAGATCCCAGTGGGGACACCAGGTCGCTTCCCCACTAGGGTGACCATATTTGCTTGATCATATTGCGGGACATTATCTTTAAAAACAAAAAACTGAGGCAGTATGCATAACAATATTGATATATAGTTACTTCACTTTTAAACATAGCAACAATAGACAATCAAATATTCACACAAGCTTATTTTTTAGGATAATAATACATAGCAACAATATAAATATAAACACATAGCAGCAAGTCATATAATATTCTTATCAGTTTTTATATATTCGTATGCCATGTATGAAATCAGTATCATCTTGCATTTCGAAAAAACGAACACAATTTCTTTTGTAGAGTCTGTAAAAATACCTTTCTTTGAAACAAAATACATAAATTATTAATTTTTGCGACTGAACCGTTTGAAAGAATACGTGAAGTTGAATGAAATTTTTGAGTCACAGTCAAATGGCTGCCAAATTATCATCAATGTACATTTATCGTTCATCGCTAAAATTAAATCATGCGGAAGGTAGAGAAATGTTTAATCATGCTGAATGTTGTGAAACATATTGAGATTTTATAATGATACTCAATAAAATCATGTATATAATATAGATTAAAATAAAGGAGAGAGAGAGAGGGTTTAACATCCACTCTTTACAAACTGGGTCATTTCCGGACTAATACATGGTTCAGTTTTATTACAATAATTTGTATGCGTGTAGTGGTCTTTCCCCCCCCCCCCCTGCAAAATGTTTCGCCCCCCTGTAAAAAAAATTTCGACCATAAAAAAATAGATATACATTGTCCGTCAATATTACCGCACCCCTGCGAACACTTCCCGCCCCCCTTGTTGCTCTGAGCTAGTTACGGCCCTGGTCTTTAGCAGTGGGTGGAAACCGGGGGCCCGGAGAAAACACACGAGGTTGGACAGAGGACTATACTCCTTGTCACGTACAACCGGGGAATCGAAACCACGCCAGTTGACTCAGTAACAGACCCTTTGATACAGCGCGCACATGCTAACCATTCGACCATCCAGCCCCACCTTCAAATAAAGGAACAAGCAATTCGATACATCCATCGTCCTCCAGTAGCTTTCCATTGTACATAAAATAGAAATGCATGGCGTTCGGTCACGGCAAATGTCGCAATAGTTAGCTAATATTCTCGGTTGCTGTGATTCTTTATTATTCTTTGGGTAAGTGGGTGGGGGGTGGGGGTGCCCGATTGGTTAAGTTTTGTCATTGAGTCAACTGGCGTGGTTTCGATTTCCCACTTGTACGTCACAAGGACTATATAGGCTTTTCTCCTGCTCCCCTGGTTTCCCCCATAGCTAACAACATTATGTGCAATTGAATTATAGTGTGTCTATTTCTCTCTTCTCTCTCCCTCGACTGTTTTGAGTTTGAAATGACCTACTGACAATAATTGGCTTTGGCTGTTTATTCTACAGAAAAGGCCCAGCATACGGGATTTCTACTGGTAGTTCAGATCTTTACAATATTTTTTTTAA